GAGAGAGAGGAGGAGAGAGAGAAGAGGAGGGAGAGAGAGAGAGAGGAGGGAGAGAGAGAGGAGAGAGGAGAGAGGAGAGAGAGAGAGAGGAGAGAGAGAGAGAGAGAGAGAGAAGGGAGACAAAAAGAGAGTGAGAGAGAGTGTGAGAGAGAAAGAGAAAGAGAGAGGAGAGGGAGGTAGTAGAGAGTGAGAGAATCACATTATGCACCGCCTTGAACGAACAATGACGACAAATGATGCAGCCTTTTTAGAATAAAAAGGATAGATAATAACGTTAGGTGCGGAATTCCCCTAAAAGCAACAGAGAATAAGCATACAATGGAATGCATCTTAAAAAGCACTCTGAAGGAAAGAAATCCCAATAGATGCTATACCGAGATACTCGGGTTGCAAAGAATCCAATGATTTCGTCTTGGAATTACAATAAAACTATTCACTGACGTTTGGTGATTTGAAACTAACGAAATAATAACTTCCGAAGAAAAAGAGACACAACAATATTTTATTCAGGACAAATATGCTGGAAGTTGGGACAGAGGTGAATGAGTCTGAAGTCTGAACTTTGACATATAAGCAGAAGACCATTTCCAGGAAAACAAACGAACAAACGAACAATGCTGTTTTCCTCCCGATCAAACAAACACACAACTATTCTGGCTCCACCTCATTACATTCAACGCACGCACCTGTTACTCGTAATTTCGGCGTCCAACCATGCCACCAGCACCCTTGTGTGGGAGACCAGAATGAATAGCCGCACGGGCACGTACCCGCCGCCCCCCCCCCCCCCCCCGCCGAGTCACGGGCTATACGACTGCACGGCAGTGCTGTTAGTGGGCTCGCGCCGGAAGTTGTTTGCGAACGTGCGCAGATTTCGGATGTTATTTGGCCGGTCTGTGATGGCGTATTAGTATTTCTGGCGGTGCCGTCTGATATGATGGGTTGTTGATTCGGTACAAATTGAATCAAACGGTGTGTCGTAAAGGATTTCTAGGCCGGCAGAAAGGAGCACTGTATCAACAGCAAATATTTGAAGTCCTCGGTAGACTTCTGAAAACTGTGGATAGAGTAACGCAATGCAGGAAGTTGAGAATGTTTCTTTTGGAAAGAATAACTATGAAATCTATTTTCGTGACTTAATATCATATCATATTTAAGACAGAGGCTACAGTGCCGAGATGAAATGATGTGAACAGTTTTCATGGTAATAGGTGAACCACAACATTGAACAGCGCGACTTATTCGTGTCATTTCACTGCTTCTGGCCATAGCGTTTGTGGTCATTTGTCAAATATTTCGGATATCAAGGCCGGATACAAAATTTTGTTTTACGATGTCATGACAGGTATATGTCGAACAGGAATGAAGAATCATCGATATTTGTAGCTGTTTTGTTCCAGTGATACAGAATGCTAGAAGAAAGGAAGACATACTAAGCAGTGGATGCATGCTGAATGCATGCTCATTGGGATTCATAAAAGTGCGGCAAAACTGGGTTGTTATGCTGCAGATATCTGTTTATGAAGTGTTTCGTAAAGTCTATAAACTCTCCTAAATCACTGTAGGTACAGCGCGTGGGGCGATGTCGCAGTGATTCTGCAACTATTACAATCACCGACAAATTTGTGCAGCGAATAGTGACGTGCTGAACACAGCAACTAGAGTTCTGAACTGAAAACTCTGTCAATAGATGTCGCTAGCTGTGCTGCCTGGAACTTAGACTAGCCCGCAGCACTCCCTAGCGCTGCGGCACAGTATCCCTGTCAGCATTTCCGTCGCATCCAAACATGGCGAATGCTACGATACAGAGTCGTTTTCTGTTATGTGATGAGTAAGGGTTTAGCTGACTGATTCGCAACTAAATGAAATCTCTCTCTCCCTCTCTCTTTCTCTCTCTCTCTCTCTCTCTCTCTCTCTCTCTCTCTCTCTTTCTCTCTCTTTCTCTCTCTTTCTCTCTCTCCCGACCTCTCATTCCATCTCCCTCGCTCTCCGTCCCACCTCTCTCACACTCTCACACTCTCTCTCTTTCTCTCTCTCTCTCTCTCTCTCTCTCTCTCTCTCTCTCTCTCTCTCTCTCTCTCTCTCCTCTCACCATCCTCGGATGGGTAGATGTCCTCCGCCAGCGCCTTGCTCCTGTGCGGCGCTACCTTCTCCTCTGCGTACTCCATGGCGTCGTCATCGTTGACGACGTGAGCCATCGGCAACGCCAGCGGCACCTCGATCGGTCCCTCGTCCTCCTCCTCCTCGTCCTCCTGCTCCTTCCTCCGCTCCTGTCTGGCGTCCTCGCGCGCCGCTGGCCGGGAGAACGGGAGTACGGTTAGAAAGTGAGTGGGATCGGCGTGGCTGATTGTGCAAATACTTTTGTATGGTCAGTGGTATCCTGACCATGTTCCTGATTGATAATTGTATTATTTGGCGAACAAACTTGTCTTGTCCGACGATCTTATTAGCAATCCGCTTTAGTTTTTTACTTAAAACTGCAAAATGTAGCTAAATTCTTAAAAATGATCTAATGCCATGTTTTCAAAGGTGGCTGTGGTTTAGTTTTACCTTCAGATATGAATATTGAGTACATCACTACAATGTTGGCAAAGCCTGCATGTTGTATATCCCTTTTTATCGCCACATCCTCATTGTTATGTATTTTAGAACCAATACGCCATTTGGCGCCAGTCAGTAGAATCTCACCGTTTTTCAGGAATGCCTCTGCCACCTGGTCGTCCACCATTCCCGGCAGAATTTCCCCTCGATAGTCGTCCACTGCCATATTTTCACCACCACGGCCTGAGGAATACCAAATGAGACGCACTTCAGAGTGATATACCAAAGTGGTATTTGATAGGATTGAAATTCATAGCCAGCTTATGCATTCAGATCATTTTATGTCACGATAATCTAAAACCTTATATGATTAGGCTTCATATACGGGAACATGTAACCCCTGCTACGCATCAGACGGCACGAATAATGAACATTCATTAGATTTTGATAGCGCAGTATAAGCGTACGCTCAGACTCATTATTTTGAGCAGTGTGACGGTTCTCTACTCCCTGATATCCTCAGTTTTACGTCGGCCCCTTGCTAACAATTTTCTGCGGCATTTAGCAAACGCCTTTTTGTTACCTTTCGTCGTGCAATTTCCACCTGCTATGATTTCAGTTCACTTACCCATGCTGCCGATGTCCCTTTTCGTCACCTTCTGTTTTTGTTCTGTTACTGGGACGCATAGTGCGGACGAGACCAGAAGGGCTCCGATAAGGAGCCTTACGTACACGATTGAGTTATTCATCCTGAAACGTGACAAACATGGACATCACAGTTTTGGCGTTTACTTATGAAAAAAAAAATTATTATAATGCTGCGCGAGTATATTGTGCCAGCACGAGACGAATTAACTTAAAAGGAGGCTTATATTTGAGTTCCTAAAATATTTCAACTGGTGAGGCAGAGATGTGCTTATTCCAAGGCTAGGCCGGCGGCACTTCCGTAACAAACGTGGGACATCGCGATAACATAGCCGACCTTTGTAAATAACTTAGCACGCGTCGGACGTTGCCTTTCTGTTTGAACAGCTCATACAGACAGCATCGGACAAAAGCAGCAGCCGCTGGCAAACGAACGAATCGATGGCAGCACCTCCTGACCAAAGACGGTTATTAATGTGACTGGGTAATGGTGCAGATAGTTAACGGAACACAAGCTATATCCAAGCAACTGTTGGTTCCTTTGAATATCCGTGAGGGTCGGCAATAAACAGAATTGCAGGGTCTAGAAAACAGTTGTATGAAATAACAGTGGTTTGCTGGCGTGTTCGTACTAAATGTAATGCTTTTGACAATGGACCTGAATGCGTTTGACGTAAAAAAGTACCCAATTGCATTGTTAAAGCCAATCAAGATTGATTGATGACTGAGGCAAGACAAATGTTAAACACTAATTTGGTTTCACTGTTTTAAAAGCTACACAAATGACGACAAAGCATTGAATTATTTCACTGAGAAAGACGACTTTAATCCTGAGATATACTGTTACGATGCATTTAATTTTGTTATACAATATACTTTCAGCTATAAAATTGATGATAAGATGTGGGCTAGTAACATATCAAAAACTCAATGCACTGAGAATCAGCCATGGATCCACGCTGAATGTCATCTTACAGCAAAGCAAAGTAGCTAGCCCGGGCTGCCCTTTGTCAAAAGCACGATGATGACGCCAGTCAGTGACAGAGCAAATGCCACACCCCACGATGGCCACAACCTTCTCCAGTACACATTTGCGACCTTACACCCTCCCCTACGGCCTCTCTCCCACCGCACCTACTGATTGTGAGTCTCCAATCGGACGAGTACCCGCCAGGTCCGCTCGCGACCACCGTTCAGCCCCTACCTGCCACCTGCACGCCTCGTCTGGCGTGGTTGTTAAGATCGCCTCGGGGCATCGTCGGCGCAGCGCGCATGCGTAGAGTGTATTGACCGGCCGGGCCGATTGGTGACCCGGCCGGGTAGTCAGCTGGCGGTCAGCGTGTCTATGTGCCCGAGAAATATTTTGGTTTTTAGCTGATATCTGAAATACAGCGTGGATCGTATCAGGATCATTGCTTGGCTGCTTTAAATCAGCATGAAATAATTGGCTACCTATTCGCACGGATGTCATAAATCGTCTTCAATGCCTACTTATTGTGCGTCGAATGCAGATCCTAGGGTATCTAACAGTGTTTACTTGAGTTAGATTGCGTAGGAAAGAAGCACTAGAGGACACATTTCAGAGTTTTACTGTCCCATCCAATTTGTCACTCCTGAGCGGTAGGCAGAACAGAGCTGGCAGGAGAATCTCAGAATTATGATGCCCTCTTGTGACAAACGGTCGCTGTCGTGACAAACGGGCGTATTCACCAGCGCTGCTGGGTGACGGAGTGTCCTTGACCGTGGGCGCTGTGACATCGACTGCAAGGGCAGTTGGTGCGCAAACAAGATGCTCAAGTTGAAATTTTGGAAGGGAATGCATCTTTCGCTTACGAACAGCAGAACACAGTATGTGATAATCGTCATGGATTGAGTTGATCCACGGCTCTGGGCGGGACTCAATTGATATTTGTGGAAATCGATGGAGACTGGGTGGATTCAAGCTTCAAGTTGGATAAGTATTATATAGTTGGGTTCATATTGTTACTCTTTGTGATCTGACCTCTGTGAGCTAACGTGGCATCAGTGACCACCTAAGCAGCATGTGTATTAGGCGACCAGCGCTGCATCGATGATTTTCGATAACATGCGTTTCATTTTATGTTATAACGCATTCCGAAGGCCCGTAATCAGTAAAAATGCGACCTTTGACCTGATCTGTGACGTCATCGGTTGCACCTAGGTCAACGAAACTTGGTCACAAGGTGGTGCTATTGAACGCCATTTGAATTTTCAAAATAGGTCGGTAACTTTCCGAGATCTTGGGTGTGTGTGTGAAACGCCCCCCCCCCCCCCAACGGGTGGTAGGATCCAGTAATAGCCCAACGGAGCGCGGAAATGAGGCGATAGTTGATAAAACAGCAAAGTTAGGTCATAGTCACCTATTCAGCTAATGATTCCATCCTTGTATCGTTCCTTTGCGAACATCTGTTTAGTTTTTCTCTGACTAAAAACAATCCATATTCTTTTGTAGCAAATGCCCGCACGTTCAGCAGCATCTGTCCATGACTTACGGGTGTGTTGAAATGTGAACTTCTCTATTGACAGCTTTACTTCAGGCAATGGGCTCGAGCCAATGCGGAAAGGTCAGAGACTGCCTTCGATTCGTTGGGCTCGCCGAAGACTGATGATGCGTTAAGTTTTTAACGACCTTTACACAGGTCTGATATGGTGTGGCGGCTGTGTACGGTAAGTGTGAATTATTCTTATTGACCGCATCTTATCGCATTTCAATGAAGTTCAACAAAACTGAATGCAATGCTTAGCATAATTGCAATTGAATGACCTTTGAAGGTTTGATGTAAAATTGGGATATTATAAAGTTTCCACAACTGCGTTTTATTATAAGAGGTCTCGCATATAATACTATAGCGCCGCATGGCGAAAATGCGGAAGGAGTGTCAAATCGGGAATATTTATGCACTGAAGTCGGTATCGTGCTGAATATGGATCAATTATGGTTGCCATGTATGGCGTGCTGTGGAGAAAAGTAAACCTTCTTATGGAAAAAAAACTGAACAAGGAAAAAATAACCGTCGTACTAATGGGGTGGACGATAACCCCCTAGTCTTTCACGAATAACTCATGTTGAAAGCGGCCGATCGCAACAAACCTTTCAAGTCTCTCGATTTATGGAATTGTATGCACACCTGCTGTGACAGTGTCATGACCCGAGTGGCATTTGACCTGTGACCTTTTCTCGAACCCATAGAATGCCAGTATAGCGCTTCGGCGTAAGTCACGTCCATACTATTTAGTTGTGCTGAGAAGCAGCCAACATGTGAAATGATGTGTTTCCCATGGATAGGTATCGAGTCGTTAATTTCCTTAACCCTCGCCAGACCTATTGGTTTTCTACATACGCGCAGGTTGAGGGGGGGGGGGTACGACCCCCCTTCGCCGTTCCGCCCCTGGTGGAGCTAGCGCGTCGCGGAAAAAACGAGCGTGTGCGCCGTTACGAGACGCAGAGATTGATACCCGCTTTTAAGGTCCTTGGTCAACCGGTGACCTCTGAGGTCAGGTCAAGTACCCCAAGGTACAGTTCAATTTTTGGTGAATAACTTCGCAAAAAACGGCCGCAGAGCCGCGATTTTAGCAGCATCGTGTTCGCCTCGCTCAGACGCGTCGAATGATATACTTTTTGTTTGGGTCAGGTCAACTTAGGGTGTTGACCTCAGGTCACGGTCAGGTCAGCACCCCTAGGTCACGAAGCTGGTCGAAAGAGGTCATGTTGCATATCATTCGATTTGGCTGGTCTTCCTAAGTTCATTGGTGGCTTTCCCGACTCGCCAGCTCAATTTGATCTGGAGTTATTGACGAAAAACTAATATGACCTTGATGACGTCATAAATGACGTCACGCAAGGTCAACATTGCAAAAGTGACACATCTTACCTTGCAAAGAGTGCATCAAATCATGATTCTGTGTGCTTGAGATAGTTGGAGATCGTTGCCGGCGCCAGAATAGCAGTTTTTATTTTTCCCCATTGACTTACCTATAATGGTGAAGTCACGAAAATGACCTGACCTCATATGACCTTCAGGAAAAATCCGAGATAAAAGTTTTGAGACTCGTAATGGATACTAGATCCTGCAAGTTTCATGACCCTGTGAAAGCTCCTCTGGCAGTGAGGGCGTTGCGAAGTTGCGACATCTGAAGACCGTGCAGAGGTTCACTTATGACGTCATAGGTCAGTGACCTGACCTGACCCGAAAATGCAGTTGGTGTCAAAAGATCCGTCTTGAATCAGAGGTCAGGTATGCAAAGTTTCAGCTTTGTATCGCCAGCGTGTTTGGAGCTATCGCGAAAAAAAACTTATGGGGGGCACCAGCCCCCCCCCCTCCCCTCAGCCGGTGAGGGTTAAGCCCCTGGTCAGTATTGCAACAATTTGAAGAAAATATTTTGTCCAAATACTCTTTCAATGTTTTGCCAATATTCGCCTCACCATGACACTGAACTGGGTGGGGAATGAAGTCAACCAATGGGTTCAATCTTAGCTCGGGAGTGTGAAACAGCGCGCATCTTCGTATTGGCATTTCCGATTGCCTTATATAATGTCGACTTTGACTTTTGAGCTATTCCCGGTTTGCCGAAATAAGAATAGCTACCACGCAGCAAGTCGCAGACTATACCCGCATGCAGTAAAGTATAGGCATACTGCGATCATTAACTATTCATTGGCATTGGAGGGCCGCTGTAATAGAAACGGCAAGTGAACATCAACCCGAACGGCCATTCTAGTCTGCCGTTTAACTGTGCTATAAATATAGCATCCGGTGAATACAGAAGTGAGGGCGGGTCCATTTCAGATCGACGTGCTTCAAGTAGCTTTCGATAGCGCCTAAAGCTTTCAAACGTATCAGGCAAAGCTTAAGAGGCCCGAGCTAAAATGCTGAGGAGTGCTGCGTGAAAAATGTTAGGTTTACATGATAACAAAATTGCAAGCTGTGCCTCGTTTCATAAAGCGAGTCCATAACTTACGCCGTTTTTGGGCTTGTATTGCAAGCGCATGTGAAGCGATAAATTTATTTCCCCTTCTCCCTTCTGTTCTTGCTTGCAAGATAAATAAATGCAACGATTCAAACTATCGTCATCGCTTCACATGCGCTTGCAATACAAGACCAAAAACCTTCGTAAGTTACGGACTCGCTTTATGAAACGAGGCCCTGATCACAGATTGATGCATCTATAATAGCCTCGAAATAATTTGTTCAAATATTTGTCGCTAAGCCTCTTCACTTGTGACTTCTCTGTAAAAGGTTTGAACCACTACATTGTTTTTTTACGGTTAGATATTGATTTAAAAATTATATTGCACCTGATGATGAAGTTCACACGGTTCTTAACCTCATCATTTTTATAATAACATAGGCGACTTTAGTGAGGCATGTTTATTGACGATTAGAGCTTAATCGTCAATAAACATACCCTAGGGCAGCGTTCCAAAGTAAAATAGCACCAGTACGAATAACACGAAAATAAGCCACCTACGAAGCACTGATCGGTTGCCGGGTTTCTGTGCGAATAATATCAAAACACGTACCCGAAAACGTTCAGAAACAGAGCTTGGAGGCAATTAGTGGAAGTCATATATACGTACCTTCCTTCCTCCAACACCGACATTGCAAAATCAAGGCAGTACACGCAAATATGGCCTATCCCGTTTCAAAATACGTTAATTAGAGCTGTAAGGAAATACAATCCGAGAAGGACGAGAAATGGACGAGAAATTTGCGCAAGGAGAGCAAGCCATAGACAACGGGTTTGCTGGCTGGCAATAACCGTTCTGCTTCATTATAACCATAAAAAGTCGAGAAATAAACGTCCACATGAGGATAAGACAAGTTATTTTAAATTTCTTTGCTTACAATTGCAATGGTCAAGTCTACAAACATCAAAATACAGTGTAATAAGTGGGCCAATGGGAATGCTCAATGTCTATGTATTGCAAGGACAAATTATACCCCTGAGATGCGTTTTTGTAAATACGTTTTCACTAGCTCGTAAAGGGAAGTGCCTGATTTGACATAGCAAATGACATGATAACGATATTTCAAGCGAACATGTCAGGAAGGTCACCGGCCTAAGTTTTTCCCAAGGTGCCTCAGAATATACCTTGTGCGCATTATTGTAATTTTGCCAAAACAGCTTTTGCTCCATTTAGTATTAACTATGCATATGCATGCCCTTATTAAAAGGCAACACTAGGTTTCACGTTGAAGATAAATCATTCAGTTGTTGGCCGATACTAACGTAACTGCCAGATATAAACTAATCCAGTGATGGGTAAAGGCGAGGGAGGTGGTATTGGATGCCTCTTTTGGGGTCTAATATGGCTTCTGATCTTAATATGGATCAGTTTCTTCGTGGCGTGTTTCTGTGCGGGGTGGTATATTCTACTGTCGCCGATTTCCGTCTGCATTGAACCTCTATCGGTAAGTAATCACCTATTCTAGGATATTTGTGATACAAGTTGAATTATAGTCTCTATTTCTACATCCATTTTATTCCTTTTCCTGTCTATTCTAAAATATCATTTATCAAATATCAATGCATACATTCTTAGCTTTCAGTGTTCAGCTTAATTATTCGTCTGGTGTCGATTACCTTGCAATTTTTAGCTATTTTTTCATTGTTTATTCACACAAGTCGTGCACCTGATCGCAGTGATAAAAATGTAGCTATTAGTCTAAACCAACTGGGTAAATAATCTTTTACATCTGGCCTCCCCTTATCATTTTTCTTTTGCACAGGCTAGAACCTGTTATTAAGCCTGTTAAGAACAGTGGCGGATCCAAGAAGGGGGGGGGGGGGTCATATGGGTCATGGCCCTCCCCTTGGGGCCCTTGTGGTGCCAGGTGCCCCACGGGGGCACCACAGGCCTGACAGGGGCACCACAGGCCTGACAGGGGCACCACAGGCCCGCCAGGGGCACCACCGGCCTCGCAGGGGCACCACCGGCTTCGCAGGGCCCAGGGGCACCTTGGGCTTACCAGGGGCACATCAGGTTTGTCAGGGGCACCACAGTCCTGCCAGGGCCCAGGGGCACCAGCAGCCTAGCAGGGGCACCACAGGCCCGCTAGGGGCACCACAGGCCCGCCAGGGGCACCACAGACCCGCCAGAGGCACCACCGGCCTCGCAGGGGCAACACAGGCCCGCTAGGGGCACCACAGACCTTCCAGGGGCACCACAGGCCTAGCAAGGGCACCCCATGGGCCTGTCAGGGGCACCATGTGCCTGTCAGGGCACATCAGGCTTGTCAGAGCCCAGGGGCACCACAGTCCTTTCAGGGGCACCACAGGCCTGTCAGGGGCACCAGAGGTCTAGCAGGGGCACCACCGGCCTCGCAGGGGCACCTTGGGCCTGTCAGGTGCACCACGTGCCTGTCAGGGACACTTCAGGGTTGTCAGGGGCACCACAGTTCTGTCAGGGCCCATGGGCAGGGGAAAATAAAAAAGGGAAAAAAACTAAAAATAGGGCCCCACTAAAAATGAAGTGGCCGAAATCCGTTGAGTTTTTTATTTTGGGTATAGGTAGGGTGCCCCAGTTCGATTCATGACCCCTCCCTTGGAGTTTTTCTGGATCCGCCCCTGGTTAGGAAGCCTGTTATTATGCATAGTAATCCGTTATTCATCTTTTTCAGGCTATAACGGATATTCTTTTAGCTGGTCTTCAACTACCCAAGACATGTGCTCAAAACATGATGGCCGGGAAGTCGCTATTCTAACGAAGTCAAAAGGTTACGCCAAGTAGGTATTATCTTTGGACAAAGCGTCGAGAATATCAAATTCCAATGCATTTGAAGTTATTAACGACGTCATTCGAGTCAGCTCCTCGATAAAGTTACATCTCTTCAATAGTTCTAACTACTGCAAGCGTTTTCTACTTGTGCTCCATTGCTTTCAATGAAAACAAGACGAAGTTACTACCACATACCTACATCATTGTTATCCGCTACTTGAACACGATTTAAAATAACACACATTCCAATTTGTCCGTTTCAGCGGATGTGCTGTCGTCATGTAGAGCCACCAGCATCCATCATTCAGCGCTGTTCTGCCCCGACGACCTGGACTTCTGTAACGGTCACAGCACACGGCACCCGAGATCGGATCCACTAATCAGGCAACCTGGTGTATGGAGAGTGCAAGTTTTGTGTAAATAAGTTGTGCGAGTGTTGTTCATTGTTATATTTTTGAGCAGCTGTGATAATGTCACACATGCAGTCGGTTACTGAAGTAATATACATGTAAACATGTGCCCAAAATGCTGATTCGTCAGTCGCCGTAACCACGAACCATAGTCAAGTGATTACGATTTACGAGACTGAGAGCGCGTTGACGAGACACAAATCCTCTCCGGAGCTCCGTAGCCCACTATTCCCTTTCAAACCGGATGCATGCCGCTTGGAGTCTGCAGCTGAGAAAAAAAAATCATCCAAAACGCAGATATGGCGTTGATACAGCAAAAAAGCACTTCAGACGGGTAAATATGAACCTTCATGACCATAGAACTGGCAAGCTACGATCGCAGCAGCGCGCAAGCGTTTCGGTGCTTAGAACCACGGCCCCTTCACTTGTTGTTAGCCCCATTCAAAATCAACGTTTCCTCTACATATTGCGGCATGAAAGTCATCTGCGATTTTCCCCTTTTATTATAGCCATATGCATCAGGATATACGTAGTGAGCCACCACACATACCGAGAAACCACAACCCAGGCGTCTACTATACTAATGAGCCAACGACGGCCAATCAACTCGCGAGCCGCGGCGGAGCCCGCCAATCAGGTGCCGCCATTTGAAAACTCGCCGGCCGCCGTCGGGCAGTAACCAGACCCCCGCCACACATGGAACATTGCCGGCCGGCACGACAGCCAATCAGACACAGCGTACCACCTCAGCGACCAATCAAACGCCACCTAACTGAGGGCGGCTATATGGCGGCCCGGCGGCACAGTATCCGGCCGCGCGCAGGCGGCCGGCGACCGGGCGGCGCCCGCGGCAACCAATCAGCATTCAGGGCCGGTGCGCGTCAACCAATCAGCATTCAGGGCTGGCGCGCGGCCACCAATCAGCATTCATTAACATAAATAACCATTAATGTGCACCCTCACAACCATTACCTCTGTCTCCGGCCACTGTGGGGGCCAGTTGGACCACGGGAGCCCCCTGCCGGCTCTGGACACCCTCCCATGCACACACCGTCACAAGTGGCTATAAGTATATGGGGACGCCAGTTCACTCACATCCGTCCCCTGCACAAGGCTCCCCGGCGTCCTCTCTGCACTCTCATCACCAATAACAGGAAATATAGTGTCTCTGGGCCCGTCGGGGCATAGTTTATATCGTCTCACTGCAACCACTCCACCGGGACAAGGTCCGTCCGTCCCTTCGATTCGCTATTGGCACCGGGCCGGGTCCGACCTGGCTGCCCCGTGTCTGGGGTCATGACCCGAGGTCAGCGCGGGTCACGCGGGGTTCCCAGGCGGCTCACCGGCGGCCATATCGGTTCAGTCGTCCGCGCGGGGCACTGACGGGCGCCGGAGCTCCGGCCATCTGAGGGAACGCACGGCGGAGATGTCACACATTGGTTGGTGTCACGGAGGACAGGTCACATATCTGTCCGATGACACAGAGAGGCCACACATTGACTGGCGAGACGAGAGACAGATCACCGGCCGGCTGGTTACATGAATCATACATATCGGCTAGTAGCACAGGAGATATCACACAAACCAGCGGCATAGAAGAGATCACACATATCGGCTGATGACAGTGATGAAAAACAGAGAGAGGTAAAACATGTAAGACACACGATACGTAAAGCAGCCTGGTGACGGTGATGGTAACAGCTCAGAACACTGCGATAATAACCGACGACTGACGAGTGCAGCCTACGTGCTGAGGATTATTGACATGCCGTTCGGCTTTGGAGCCGCAACAGACAGCGGAGGTCAAGCCAGGCCACCGCTAGGGCGGCGGCGGATTTGCTGCGCCCTGGCACCCCAAGCTGGGCACAAAGTTCCACCTACGGTTATTGGTAAATGTAAGGATTCCTAAAGCAGATTAGAGCCTTTTACATAAGCGAGATTAGCGCCACCTCATATCAATTACACAATCTCCTCTACATTAAGGCTGGACGTTACCACGCGTGGCTCGGCCATTGGCGTGCTCTGCTTATTGTGTGCTCCGCGATAAAGATTCATGAGCGTCCGGCTATGCAAAAACAGCCATTATGGCGACTATGCAGCCCAGCCGACCACATCACGACGCCCACAGCACAGACAGCCGAGCCCTGGCCACGCCCTCGACATCTGTGTCGTTCTCTTGAGTCCGTCGAGAGCGGCGGATGGGGGAGCTGACTGCAGGGAGCGCTTAGAGTCGTGATTTTCAACAACAGCGCTAAGGGGTGTATTTCAGGGTTCCGTACTAGTGCCAATTCTATTCGGCTCAGTAATCAGTTAAAGGGTGGCCTGTCCATGCTGAGATTTCCCAAGACACGAGGTGATATGTATAATAACATGCCCCTGACTGGTGCTGTGCCTTTCACTGTGCAGAACTGAATGAGAGGCGTACAACGATATGTGATATAGAGCAGTACTGCGGTTTTGGGCTCGACCTGCTTGAACTTGCTGAGTCGCTGACTGATGCGATACTGGGACACGTGGCCTCACTTCCTGATAATTATAAAATAAAAACATACAGATGACCATTATCTGCTTTGCAAACTAAGGGCGCAATGGATATCTGTAATTACGACTGGCGTACTTGGAAGCAAGATACCGGACAATAGGTCAAGGGTTCATACACCGGGGTGCGGTGCTTCCATTTGGACCCCATTTGTGATACGCGAGCAACAGGATGTGCATTAGTGCGTTCTAAGTAATCCCGCCTAAATATGGTATCAAATAAAAGTGCGCTATTGACCTATCCACAGACTTCCCTATGCAGAGAAGTCTGTGACCTCGCATAAGGCTCAGGGCATTTAGATGGATTCCGAGCTAGAAAATGGCAGCATCAACCTTCACCGACCTTCAAACCTCGGAAACCCGACGGCACAATATCTGGCAAGAACCAATAAAAAAATAATATTAATATACCATAGCAACATCGTCCCATCCGCCCAACCGCATTGGACGAAGAGGGAACGGATCATTCCACTGCAGTCGGAGAATCGCGTCTAGCATAACTTTATGTTTACATTATGCATAGTTATTCCGCAAAAAAGCAAAAGCATTACGCTCCTCAAAAACTTGACCAAGTCCATTCGAACCGATTCGACGGTATTCTTTTTGGACCACTGCTGAGCCAATCTAGTAAAAACTGGACTAAAGTTGCCCAGTTGCCCAGTTTACTTTGGAAGTTGCCCAGGCCCGATCTCAAGTCACCGCAAAATAACCCCTGCATTGGTGGAATTCGCAAGGAATTACCATTCAAGGTGCATGTTGCATACCACACAAATATGCTTTAAGATTCCACATGTTTGAGCCGCAGTGTTCGAATGGCTCTGTTTTCTGGCGCACCACCACAACAAAGCCAGGCTATATCTACTCCGACCGGAAATGAAAGACCAGAACCGAACAGCCGCTAGTTTCTGTAAGACCCTCCCGATACCCCACCTCCATAGCCCATCGCACTAATGGCGAATAAGACGAGCCACATGCCATTAAATACCGGCGATATTATTGGGCACGTGTTACATAAACCCCGTCCCTAGGAGATCGCCCTGGACTCAGCCAGCCACGGGGCGTAGCGGGGACGGGCGCGGGGAGTTCCAATCAGGGAAGTGGCGTCCGGTGACCACAGAACTGACCTGTCCAGGGTTGAACATAGGAGGAGCTGCTCCCTGCGGGGGCGCGCCGTCGCCGGGCGCAGGTGGCTGCAACAGACAGATGAACGGACGGGTTATATTTATGCATAATGCATACATGTTACGTAATCCATGCATAAAGGATAGACGGACGGAGGGACCACATCGGTCAGACTGACCATACCGACAGACCGACGGACACAGAAAGACACACAGACAGACCCATCGACAGACATGTTGACAGACACTCGCCATTTTGACACACGTACACACGTGTGCACACATAAGGCGCACACAGCTAGAGACACAGGCCACGGGAAAAGACGCTTACATAAATATCGACGAGAGTGGCTATGTCAGATAAGATAATCAGCGAGCAAATGAACAAGACAGGGGAAATGCGCTGAGGCCAGGGATCAGACGGACCAGAAAATTGATACGGGACGGATGAGCGATATGCTGGGCAAGGAAGAAATGAACTAGAAAGGACAAACAACCAAAACAATTGAAAACAGGGACATGAATGAGACAAGGGACAAGAATATGATAAAAGTACAGGGGTCAGCCTTCAGTCACATGGAGCAGCATCAAAAACGACAGAACAAAATGGGATCCAAAAGAAATAAAAGCGAGGTAAGTAACCAAAAGATCATAATTGTCGTCGCTTTTCGCAACTAAATCTAACGAGCATCTTCCTAGTGTTACCACAATCAACGCACAATCAACGTCATATTCATACGGAGATTTAATCACCATCCCTGTCGAAAGCCATCGATGGATTACGTCAAGAGTTGACTTCGGTTTCCTAACTAGTTAGCAGCGCGGACATTGTGAAAGTCTACCACTAGGAAGTGAGTCTGCAAACTCTGTGTCCAACAGGATGCTTTACGGCCGCCGACTGGTTTGAAACACGTGTTTCGAACAGACAGACGTCGCTGTTGATTTACATTGCAGACTGGTCCAGTTTCCAATGAACGCTGCACAGGCTGCATTACCATCATTGGTTGATGGGAAAAGCTTAGATGAGATGAGTGATGAGTTTATGTCTTATGATACGTAACTCCAGGCCATTGGGCATTTTGCAATTCAGTGGTATAGGCGGCATTCAACGGCGAGGAGAACCACCATATATTTATACATCCGAACATAACTGAAGTTTCGGCCTCAGTCAGGTTCGGATACAGGAGAACAGTCACTGGAAACGCATTATAATATAGACCTCTCTCGTGTCAGGCCGCTCGTCTGCTAAAGCTCCTTCCGCTGAGCCTGGCCCACAGTCCCCGCCATAGCTCGCCGAGCCATGCCGCCAGGCTCTATTGTTACACCCCCGGAGGCAGACGTCTGACCGATACTCCATGTCACAGCTGCTTTTCCCCGAACCGAGCCGTCACAATGGGTCAGAAGGACCGTCAGCGGTCACCCGTATCGGGCCCGGCCTATTGACGTTTCGATGTGACCCAAAGGCTGGAAACAGACCACTGAGCAGCCGCTAAAAGCCCTTGTTAGCGGCCCTGCCACGGCAGCCTATGAGGACACTTTCATGTCAACCGCACTTTGAATGTAATTGCTGCCGTGGCTCGATATTACTGCAGAGTGTTGAGCAGACTGCAAAATTAATTGAACATGATTAGATGAACTTGAATCACCTACGTTGATACGTTCATCTGACAGATCAAAGATGTCAGGTAATTTTCAAATCGTTATCGGATCACCAATAGATAATTAACCTAATTACCCAGGCGTGTAATAGTCTTAGCAAATCACGTGCGTCCTTTAAGCATCCAGTTAGTCATAATGTTAAATACCGACGTTAATTATCAAACTGCTGACAGTTGGGATATTAAATGTCTGGTTCCAACTCGTCACTAAAATACATCATATATAAACTGGATAAGTAAAAGAAAAACACCTGATCAAACACAGCTCATCGCACATTTACCGAAATTTACTGCAGTGCAAAGGAAACCATGTATGTCAAATGAGTGTAGAGTGTAGACTGACGTCGTGTCTTCCCTTGCACTGCAGTGTAGCCGCTGCGTTACCTTTTCCTTTCTTACCACACAGGTAACAGACTCCCACACTTATCCCATTTACCCTAGTAAGCGCTCTCCCAGTCCCTTCTCACCTGAGCATCCATACCGGATCCATCAGCTGGCGGAATTGGTCCTGAAAACAACACCACAACGTCATTTGTGGAATCGTAGCATAATTCTACGGCATAAACACGAAGCGTGACAAGTCATTACGGAACATGAGACCACACAGATAAAGCATCAGAGGCTTGGAGCGCAACACATCAACGACGGAATGCTGCACGTCATAGACGGAATGCTAGACATCAGAGAAGGAACGCCTGATTACGGAGCGAGCGAAGCGAGCGGAGTCTTTCCTTAGATTAACGGAAATTTCTGAGTATGAGCGGCCGGCCGGCCGGCCGGCCGGCCGTGCGGACGCTTTTGCGAGGCTTATATCTCAGCAACCACTTCACCGATTTACACGCGGTAATTTTTGTAGGGTAGCTTCATTCCTTCTACCAAGTATTGGACTATTCCCGATGCATGTGGGTGACCCCTTATGCACGTGCCACGTGCAAAACGAAGAGGTGTCAGTTTTGTAATTGTTGCAATATCTCGGTAACTACTTGGCCGATTGCGCTGAAAGTTGGCATGTAGGTAGGCACCCACTAGGCACTGCATATCCATGTGCCAGAGTTGGGGTGCTGCTGCACGTGCGCACGTGCAGGGGTCGTTTCCAGATCTCGAGAACGGCTGGACCGATGGCGCTCAAATTTGGTACACGGTTAGGGACCAGTTAGTAGGGTGCCGTGCACAAGTCAGTTGGGACCCATTTTGCACGTGCGCACGTGCAGGGTGCCGCTCCCAGATCTCGAGAACGGCTGGGCCGATTGTGCTCAAATTTGGCATATCGCTAGAAACCGGTTAGTAGGGTGCCGTGCACAAGTCAGTTGGAGGTACCCCCTCGAAATTTCGCACGTGCAAGACTCACCCCCTCGCTCGCTCCGTTAGTCGCCCCAAAAGGCGCTATACTGGTATGTGGTTATTACACATACGAAGCGCCAGCCGGTAGGTACTCATTACACAAACATTATGCCTGCGATAGATACCAGCATATCGGACGCCGGGGCGGCAAATTATTCCCAGAGGAAATCAAGTGCCGATAGGTACGCGGTACGCGGTAACTTATGTGGACGTAATTATGCGCATCACATCATACCACAATCAAAAGGTAATGCTATCAGAATCTTGAAGCAAATGTTTCTTTCAAAATAAAAAGGCCAAATGCGACAATTGCAGAGCATGAGCACGCGGTCAGCATTAGTTAGTGCATAAAGTATCACCCCCCCCCCCCACACACACACACTATCACCCAATTACTGAAAAAAGGTCCCAAAAAGTATCAACCAAAAGTCAAAACCAATGCATAATCACAATAAAGCGCGGCACACTGCCAGCGCATAGTCCTACACCACCCATCGCTTTTGGTAGCCTATGTCATCGCCCGTCACAAAAACTTCACCGCCGACAAAACTCCATCAAACTGGCCGTGCAAACACTGCCGTAATCGCTGCCAGGGTGGAAAGGTTTGGTGCGCAGCCCGTAATCATTGCTTCAATGACAGCGTGTGCAGCGAGCGGCTGAGGTACGAAAACAGTCGGTCTACGGACGAGCCGTCGCCCGGCGTCAGTCTGTTGTTTAAAAGTGAGCGACAGCTGGGAGTACGAATCGCTTAGCTACAGGTCGCTAGGCAGCTAGACAACGCCGAGCTAGCTAGGCACCTTGGCAACAGAAAGCCACCTAGCTAGATGTTAATACCTCGTAGACGACGTAGACTATGGATGAGCGCCCGGCGAATGAACCCACGCGTAAGAGGACAGTTACATTAAAGAGTTAATTCGCATATCTAAGGGGGGCTTTAATTACTCAGTACTGTTCTTTTTTTGCGGCTAATCGTATAACTGACTTCGTACGTTTTTCAGTCACCCTTTGTCTCCATCAATACCAAGCATCGACCACAATACGGCTCTATGACGCCGCTCACAGCCACTAAAGCATATTTAGTCACCCCACAATGCATCGAACTGCGATCGGCCGGACCAAAGGCGCGGCTAAATCGGGAATCAGTTCATTATCGCCGGCTCGATATAATCGGCCGCGCAGGGGCGACACACTGGTCCTATGGACCGCCGACGGATGCGGTAGAATGGCCACAAAACGGCGAGTTAACGTCAGCGACCGGCGACAGTATGGATGGTGGGAACAGGGCTTATTATAGAATATGACCGGGCAATACTGAATGGAAATTGGGACTGGCTTTCCTTCGTGTGCTGACAAACGATCAGTAACTAAAGGGTTGGCTATAAAGTAAACAACTGCAAATATTAGCAGGAAAGTACCCAGCTCAGCAAACAACTATGATTAAATCAACGTTTCACTTAATACAGTTTTGAGATGAATTCTTCGAATGCAGCCCTCACTGTGGTTCGCGAAATGTCAAGTAACCAAGTACCCTGATCGTGGGGACGGCGTGACATCAAACATCCCAGTGAAGTGTTTCGCTAATATTAAAAAGGTTGGCGCGCGACGTTTCTGCAATTCATTCCAGAGAGATGGCATTTCACCGTGAAATGACTACAAACGTGGTCTTACGTGCCGAGACGGTCGCTGATGACCTTGCCATGACCTTGCCATGACCCTAGTGACTGACCTGGACTGGGAACCAGCGGGGGTAGACTGGCGGGTCCAGCGCTGGGTCCGGATCCACCACCGGGTCCAGATGCGGATCCGGAGCCACCAAACACATCCACGTAGTTGGAGCGCATACCTGACGACATAGATATCGTTGTCAGTCTTCGGATGAAAGCAACAACCACGAGGCGGGCTAGGTTACGCCATTGGTGATAGCTAACGGCGCTGGGTTACAGCATTCATAACACATCCCCACAGTGGGCGCACAGACACGCCGAAAGTCGGCGGATCAATATCAAAGATAGCAAGGCTATCCATTGTTTGCGTTCCGCCGCGGCGAAGAAACGTGTCATTTTCAGAAGTTTGTGGCACCCGGGGACACAGCTAGGTCGCCGTTTTTTGCCCCAGGGCCTCGGAGAGAAACAGCATTTGGAATTCTAACAACGCAGCAAACAACTGTCATAAAGCGCCTCTGAGGACTCGGAAGACTAACAATGTGATACAACGCATATGATGCGATAGTAATTCAAGACAGACAAGGTTAAAGAAATGGAGGAAAAGACAAGAGAATGATGCCAGTAAGAGTGTGGAACTAAAGAAGATTGGATGTATTTTACAGTACCCTTTGAACAAAACTAAAACAAAGCATTGCGAAAAAAACAACAGGACCAATTAATTGACAGATAACTCAAAGTATCGACAGGATGACCGAGGAATTTTAGAGACCCAAAACTGACGGCTCATCACCCTATGCTGGACACTTACCGCGACCCTTGGGGATCTTGAACTTGTTGCCGCCGCCGGCGGCGGGCGGCGGGGGCGGGCCGCCGGGCGGGGCGCCGCCGCCCATGGCGGGCGGTCCGCCGCCCCCGCCCCCGCCCAACAGCTGACTGTCCGATGGCGGCGCGGCGGGCGCCTGAGGCCCGTCGTCGGGCCCCGCGTCTTTGTCCACCCACCGTTTAGTGGCCGGGTCGTACACGATCTGTGGAGAGATCAGTCTACGGTGAGCATAATAGTAGAGGCTTCAACACAGGCTGTAGAGCGAGCTGGTATGCTGTAATTTAGCTCAGGCCCGCTCAATTGCATTACGCTAAGTTAACGAGAGTTTCTGAAGGATGGCTGTCTGTCTGAGATAAATCACAATTCCGTTCAACTTCCTTGTTCATAACTTAAGTAAGCCCATGTCGTAAATTTTCAGACCACTGAGCCGTTCAGCGTCTCGGTCGCCGTTCGCATTCTGTCTGGCAGACCCCGCGGCCACAGCCGCTGTAAAGGCAGCCCAGCCGCCCCAGCTGAACGATAAAAGTCACCGCGTCACCGCAGACGGTCGCCATAGACTGGCAAATGTTGCGGGCGGAGGGGGCTGCCTGGCCTACAGTCGGCAACACGGAATCGCCGCATGATCCGGGTCGTTTTGACGCCGATCACATGTTTTACATCGATTAAAAAAACATCGGCAACCACCGACAAGATTCTTCAATAGATGCCTGACCGCAAACGGCCCTCGCCCTAGACAAAGGCACAACTCAAGATCACGTGACCACTCCGCATCCATCACTGCGTGTGATCGGCGCCATCACGTGACCTGGTCACATTCACTGCAGTGCCCAACCGTCAGCGTAACGTGACCCAACTGTCGCGGCGCTATTCTGGTTGGTTCACATGTTCACCTAATAACCGCCGTCGCCACTGAATGCTATTGCTAATGCATTAACGAAGACAGCGCTGCGCAGTAAGGGACGATATGTCGACGATCAGCGATTTATCGTTGAAAAGACCGTCTGATCCAAGTCAGCAGTATCCCTGATATTGCATCCTGTTCTCTTTCTATCACTTCCGGTCCCGTCCGGGCTGTCTCCAGGCCACTTCCGGTCGACTTCCGGTTTATGTCGATCGACGATGGTAGAGGTCACGGTCAAAGGTCACCGATGCCGTGCAGAAGCCACCGGCCAGGCGCCAGGCGACGCCGGGCGACGAGCGAGTCGCGACATTTCACGAAAATTGAACGACCTTCCGTGTCTGCGCGGCGAATCCAGCGATCAAGTTTCGGGACATTCTGAAAGCCGGTTGTCAGCTTGATTACGGGAGTTTGTGGTGATTGACTCACGCATGGTATTACATAGGTTATGGGTTTAATTTGTAAGGCCTAACAAAAGTCATCATCTAACACTATCCAAAGTGTGCTATCTTGTCGTCGTCATCTGCAAAAGAAATGTTTTCTGACAATTTTTTTTGCGATACATGCATCGTGATGAATATATTTATGCCTGCAGTTTAACTGGTTTTCATTACCATAAAAATGTACAACTTGCCGCTGCTGTCCAATATTCCACGCTGTCGTTAACCGTGACGCAGAAGTTCACTGCATCTTTGGTGGAATGCTCTTTTTGTCTATTGCGGAACACAGCTATCTCTCTGATGAAGGAAGCCTGAGGCTGTGAGTAAATGAAAAAACATCATCCATTCGCTAAGCACACAGAAACCTCAGGCGATTCGGCCACCTTGGTAACAAGAAAGTAATCAAAACTAGTGCACGAACATGCGTAAAAACAAGTCCAGCTCGAACTCCTCACAGAAACACGCACTAAATCGAGTGCTGCAGCATTTCCCTCGGTAACATGAGTTGTTTTGAAACTTAGTCCAACTGTCACAAACTTATTTTCAAAAGAGATTCACCGAGGTGCTGATGAGTTGGAAGAGAACTTCTGTCTTCAGGCTCATCAACCAACAGGTCTACACTAGCACAGTCCGGCATTGCGTTTCAACTAAGCACATTCATAATCAACAGTCACACATCACAGTAACAGTAACATCATAGTCATACCATATCACGATGGAACATCTAAGCACATTCATAATCAACAGTCACATATCACAGTAACAGTAACATCACAGTCATACCACATCACGATGGAACATCTAAGCACATTCATAATCAACAGTCACATATCACAGTAATAGTAACATCACAGTCATCACTTCACAACAGAACATCACATTCTAACAGTCACATCATATTTCACAGACACATACCACATCACCTCCAGAACACGCCACATCACACATCAGTCCCGTAACGGCCGCTGTCTGGCGCCGACATCACATCAGCTGAAAGCCGACCCGCCGCGCCGGCCACCCCATATTACCCCCGCCACCCTCCTACACCCCGCCAAACCACTCTGCTCTGATGCGGTCCTCGCGACTCCAGAGTTCTCCTTGATACAGTTCCAGGGACGCGGCTATTCAATCTAGGCGTTCACCGAGCGACCGCTCAGGCCGGTCAGAGAGCAGCCGCTTCCAGGAACTGGTGCCGGCACCACCGACCCATGGCAGTGGTGGTGGACGGTGGTGGTGATGAAAGTGGTGTTGAGATGGTAGTGATGTCCGAAAAAGAAGTTGCAACTGGTGGTAGTAACTATAGCGGTAGTAGAGGCAATGCCAAATGCCAATAGCTAGAAAATGGCAGAAGAACCGAGATAACTATCACAAACTGAATCAGAAGTGACGACCTTTATAGCAGCGACTGGCGAACTAGTCACTGGTTAATACGTACCTATATGTGTGACAGAGGTGGGAATTCCCAGAGTAGCTGCCGTGTCTGTTGCAGCAGCTCCGTGTCTACGCCGCGAAGCCTTTTAGGAACGAGATAATATGATGATACCTCACATTCATCTGCTTTTTATAAGAAGCTCGCATTCAAAAAGTAATCGTTGAAGTGACCTTGAAGCCCTGCATATAGTCCGACACGCCTCGGCATGCTGATTGCTAAGGCTCTACTTGCTAACCTTCGTTGTCACTGGTCAAACCTCCTAAAAAAAAAACTGGACAAACAATACACAATTTGCTGGTTCGCCTAACCACAATTGCCTGAAATCACCAGGGTTCTTGAGGTTCTTCAAAATTGCCCTAGCTCTAACACCATCACTATTCACCAGGGTTTGACGCAACAACGTCGTCACCCCGAACAACCCCAAGAACAGCCCAAGAACAGGTCTTGAACAGCCCGTGAAAAGCACATGAGACAACTTTCGAACACCTTTCGACAAGCCCCGAGGCCATCGAATTCCAGCTCTGTAGCTGATTACCCCCAGCCGTCCGGCGTCCGGGGATGAACCAGCAAAGTTCGGCCGGGAGTTGGACAGCGGAGGTGTTGGGAGCATCGACCAGTATCGACACCCCTTTAGAGACGGGTTGGAACGCCCCACCGGCCACTAGGGTGGACAGGGACACCTCAACCAATTTCTGATAGAAAACTCTCCGACCTAATCGCTTACCGAAACTTGAAAACCGGAAAGAAACGGTTTTTTTTTCTAGCCGTACTAGCTACCTAAGCAAATGAACGCGAGGTCCTCAGGGAACAAAGCCTTTGCAAACACACCTGGCTCGCAACACGTCCAGACAGTCGCCTTAACTCGTTACTAGCTGCATCACGAAAATCAATGCGGTAATCGGATGGGACTCCTCGCGTCGACGGCCGCCCGCCGCGGCACGACTTTACTGCCGCTCACGGCACCCAACACACATCGGCCGCCCCGGCGGGCTCAGTTAACGACCCGACCTTGACCTTTGGGGGCGCGTGCCGCGGTCGGCCGCCACTCGACGACTCCTGCTCGCTAGTAACGGGAAGGTGAGGTGGGGAAGGGGGGGGGGTCGTGACTAGTCCAAAGGTCACACTGATCCACACGTGCCGGACCATGTCATCTCATCCTTTCGGCTTACGGAGCTCGGGTTAGGACTTTTTCTGGCGTTCATCCGAGCCGCCTCCGGCCGTCCAGCGGAACTGAATGGGGAGGTCATCTAAGATTCAATAACGTATTTCATGAACTCTACCTCTACATCGTGCAGGCTGGTGACCAAGGACTACCAAGTAACAGTTCCTGCTTCATCGGCTACCACAAAATAGGTATTCGTAAAGACGGCGGGTTAAGTTTCATGAGTTCGACGACGAGCCATTCACATGTCAATAACGACTGGTCAGAGAGGACGGGCCCGCATTGGTGGCTATGCCAGATGATAGCACTAATGCTTGGCGACCTTTGGAGACAGGGTTTCGCAAGAAGTGTCTCTGTGGCAACGGACGATACACATTAGACAGAGAACTGAAGGACTTATCGTGATACCTCGGGTAATGGACGCTGGACAGTCGCTGAGCGAGCCACCGAAAAAAGCTAGTCTCCGTGCGACACTGAAGACGGACTAAAAATAGCCGCCAATGCTTGTCACTCCTAAGGCCTCGGCACCATAGTGCTTCTTAGACAAACTTGGCAACACAGAAACAGTACCGTTTACCCTGACATTGAGCCTTTACAAAAAAAAAGAGAAGAAAACTATGGCAGATTTCACTGACATCTCATAAGCCTGTTAAGCCACAAAAAAAAAACATTAATCGCTCAAAGAACAGTGCCTTGTCAGGATCGAACAGACGAGTTTTGCACTGCTGCAGAAAGGAAACTCTGCGCCTTTGCGCCAATAATTGGTCAGCTAAATTACCAATGTAACCATTGAATCTGTAGTCTAATTTCAGTGAGCTCATCTCAGTAATACCGATCAAAAACCGATCAGAGGACGTGCTACAGATCGCCTCAATTAAGAGCGACCATTGTCCGAGTTCGAAAGTTCTTCTGGTGCGACAAAACAACGTCATGCCAACAGAAGCAGCCGCCCAGTTGGTTCAATACCTCTCCCGCTGGGCATAACTACATATTTTTTTAACACTATTCATACAACAACTCAGAGGTCAGCATCATCTAAAGACATTTAAAATGACTAGAAAATTTAGTAGCCAGCACCATTTCGCTGTCTTCGATGCGCGCTAGTTGCCACCGTCACCAGCAAGAGTAAGGTAATTATCCTAGAGAAAACATATTTCCCCCACTATGTCCCAAAACACACCCGGACCCTTTGACGCGCACCCGGGGTCGCCGGTCTACTGCCTGGGGCTCAAACTTTCAGTGATCTTCACTAATTAGGGCTGAGCCGCCGCCGCCGCCGCTGCTAACGCTGTCATCAGCAGTAGGGGATTTCACTTTGACCTTGTCGACACGTGAAGAGCTAAAGCCTGAATCGTGGTCTGCCAGAGGTTTTCCGACGTAACAAATGATGTGACGAATAAAAAAACAATGTTTTGATGAAAAGACAACGGAGAACCAGACAAAGAAATAGAATAAAGCATACAAGAGAAAGAATGAAAGATCAAAAGGAAAACAACAAATGAGAAACTATGGTTACCAAAGGTTACCAAAGGAGAATAATTACCAAGTACGACCACTGTTTTTTTCTTCTTCTTCAAGCACGGAGATAAAAAGCGGATAAAATTTCTGCAGACGCCACCACCAATAATCACTGACCCATGATCATTCGCAAAAAGGTACATCGATGTCAGCCAGCCAGGCAGACAGACCAGCTATATTTCGCTCAGGCTATCACAGGCCTCGGCTCTGAGGGGCTTCAAAGCTCCTGTTCCCCGCGCTAACCCACGTCAGAGGCTGGGCTTCGGCGAATAGCATGAACTTTGAGACTACCATCAGAGATGGCCGTTCATGGTTGGGCAAAGTTGCAAATGGCTTCGCGCTATAGCGAATCATACAGAGGCCATTTGGAGGAAAACAATTTAACGGCTGACCTGCGATGACGTGGTTGTATGTAAGCAGTATTCGGTTCAATCGCGGGCCGTTGCTCCGTTTATAGGTTCGACTGATTGTAGAAACGTGTGCGCCTACAGTGTCAACACAGTGTTACTGGAAATCGCACGGAATAAATTATGAAAGAATTCCCTTCATTTGATGGTTCCCACTCCGCAACAGGCAGAACACTTCCTGGAACCACTTCATCAAATACTAATTGCAAATTAAATTTTGGCAACACAAAAGACCGCACCGGGTTTCGGGCGGGACCGATAATTACTAATCACATCCAAAAATTCCGTAGAGCGCATCGCGAACAATCATTAAGCCGGTCTCGAATTCAAACAGCATAAGTGTAATTACCTTCAAGAAACCATCACTCCAGCAGTGGTCATCAAATCGTGAGTTAATGGAAACGACTCTAATGAAGCGCATTATGATTGGTCACGTCCGGTTGGAAGCAGGCGTGTCCAGAGAGATATGATGCCCCTCTCCCGCATACCAGAGTCAGGAACGCTCTCCGAAATGGGCCGGCGGAAAGGCGATGTAGCTAAACCTGATGGAATAAAATTACCATGATATGGAAGGTCATTGCGTTCCATATCAATGCTTGGTGCGTCACTTATGGACCATATACATTCATAAATCACTGCTGGCGTCGGCGCTGCTGCGCAGGGAGCGATACGTCGGGCGAAGCCACATCGATGGTGATAGCCCCGGTTCCAGACCCTTCGGCGCTCGATAAGCAAAACTTACGGCGGGCGTGGCAGCAAACGCAGTCAGCTTTAAGTTACGGTTCAACTACGGCGCTCCAGCTAAATGTGTCTGTTACACATGCATAGGGTGGTTAGGTCTCCAGACAACCAGGAAATCCCCGTTCAGACGAGAAAAGTCCCACACCGCGCACCTGACTGCTTGACGCAGGCTCAAGCCGCGTCCAATATGCCCAGAGTTGAACTTTCTGTAAAATACTCCGACGCAAATGTGCGCTATTTTCATAGAAACGCTATTCGCAGTCCAAAACAACGCCAGCCGTCTTGCTATTAGGATTAATATTTTTGGCTTAATATGGTTATCATTGGCATCTTCCAGTCCATCAACTCTCTAGATCCTAGCACGTCGCCTATTATAGCCTTTTGCAAGCGCGCTATTTTAAAAGCATGGGAATCATTTACAACAGCATACCAACGGTATTCCAACAACAAAATACAAAAGAACCAATATTGACGGCCTCGAAAGGAACGCGACTGATTCATAAAATGGCCTCAAGTTGCTAAACCAATTACTCCTGGATTACACCAATTTTAGCTTTATGTCTACTCAAATTTTCCAATTTTAGCGAGGAAAATATTTCGAAAAAGTAAGCGAAAGATGGACGCACGAATACCAATTAAGCCTTAGGGTATGAGCAAAAATACAATTGATTAAAAAAAGCCTCAAGCCGCATGAATACAATAACACAGAGTTGAATTCTACCACATAACTGCACCAATTGACTTGCAGCCCTCTTACTGCTATCAAAGGTAAACTAAGTTGACCGGTCTACTGATGTCATTGAACTTACCGATTTATCCTTATCATCGGGCAGTTTCATCTGGTTTTTGGGTTTGCCCAGTCGACTGAAGAGGCCGCCGAACCACCCGCCTCCTGATTGGTCGTTGGACGGCGCGCCGGACGCTGATTGGCTGGCGCTGGTCGTAGGGGGCGGGGCCGACCCTTTGGCCGGCTCTGATTCGTTCTCAGATGGCACCGACGACGCCTCACTCTGCGGGCACGGGTTATGTGAGGTCAATGTCAGGTCAAGGTCAGATTATGGGAAGAAAATATCTGGTGATTAGTTTGGCGTGAGATGGGATTAAAATATGATCAGGACAGATATCAAATCAAGTCAGGCATCAGGTCAGGGACCAGCTGTTCACGTCAGGTCAGGTCTTAGGTCAGGTCAGATACAAGGTCAGGTCACCGGATTGAAATACAACTGACCGATTGGAATAACAGGATTGGCGGTGATCAAATGAGACGTCAGGAGCAGTTCAGATATTCCGGACCATGATCAAGGCTAGGGCAGGACAGATGATCATCACTACCCGATCGACTTTGTCACCAGTAACAGACATTACATAATTTACAGCATTTGGTGCGATTTCTGTGTACATTTTCAAATAAAATAACAAAACATCAATCATAGACTTCTAGAGAAATGTGTGCCTCATGGTTAACCCGCGCACCGACGGGGGTCTGCGCCAACTTAGTACCGACGGGGGGGGGGGGGGGGCGGATGACCGCCCCCCCCCTGAGATCTCGAGAACGAAGCAAGATAGCGACAAGCGGTAAACGGCATCGGATACGCACGGCCAAGATCTACAAATTTTACTAAGGTCATTTTCAGGTCAGGTCAAAGATGACGTCACAGGGGTCGAAAAAGTCAAAATGGCGGCGCTAGATATGGAGAGAGTTTTTCTCGAATAACTTTCGAATTAGTCAAGATAGGAACAAACTAAGGGCATCATCGTGATCCTCTCGTCAATCCGCATCGAATGATATATACGTTGACCTCGAAAGGTCAAGGTCAAAGGTTGACCTCAGGTCACGTGACCTCGAGGTCATCATGTATATCATTCGGATGCGTCTTGACGAGCTGAACACAATGAGACCATCCACGCGTCTGTATCTTGTTCCTGTACGGAGTTATTGGCCAAAAACCTTTGGTGACCTTTGATGACGTCACATGACCTCACAGCTGCCCAACAGCAAAACAGACCTCAAGGTAGTGAAGGTTGATCGTATATGAAGTCATGTATGGTATATGGGGCCATTCCGACCCGTTTTAGTGGTAAAAACAGGGAGTTGATTTTTCCCCCATTGACTTATAATGGGGAGGTCGCGAAATTGACCTGACCTTAGGTCACCGATATCAAAATTCCGAGACATACAAATTGTAGCTACTAATGACCTAATAATATCCTGCGACTTTCAAAGGCCTCCGACATCTACTGTAGCTCTGGCACGGTGACAAAGTTGCAAAAAAGTGACTTGAGGTTGGGTCATTCAAAGTGACCTGGTGACCTGACCTTAAAAGGTAGGAGGTTCAAACTTGCACACCATGTGTAAAATTGATGAGGTTATAGTCATACCAAATTTCGCGGCGCTACGCGCCGCGGTTTTCCCGCTATTCGCGAAAAACCTCAGGGGAGGGGCGGATATCCGCCCCCCCCGTCGGTGCGCGGGTTAATACCCAAGTTTCATGAAACACTGATGCTTATCATTGGTGAGCACATAACTAAGACACAACATCGGCGAAAGAAGAAAATAAATTAATAAAACAATCGGAAGAATTATGCGTATAAGCGAAAGAGAACATAAAACTCAGCGCAAATGCAGAGGCATTGTCATGAAGAAGACACAAAAACAACGCTAATTACATTATGCCAAAATCAAATAACGTGCAGAAGTACTAGCAATTAAAAGTAAAAGACGATCGCAAAAAGGAAAAACGGCATCAACATACTCATAATATGCAATGAAATGTCGTAAGAAAACGACTCCAACATGTCACAAATTACACAACGTTCAGCAAAAACAACGCAAATTGGAAAAATCACGACATATCGAGCGCAACACAGCATGCGATTTTCAACGAAACGACCCAGACGAATCGCAATATCAGCCACAACCAATAAAAACCGGCAATAACCGGCGTTGCTAAGCAACAGAAATCAACTGAAGCATCAGATGCAAAAACATCGCAGAGGGATGTTCTAGTTCACAGTATTTTCCAGCTAATGAGCAGACGCAAGCAAGACAAGAACCTTTCCAGAAAACAAACATAATAAAACGGTATCTCAGAAATAAAATACTAAAACAAAAGTGCAAAAAGCTAAAAGCTTTCTGAAAACAGCCAGGACTAAGCAGCGTTAACAGTAAACACGTCATAGCAGCACTGCATAATCACAGTCTCAGCAGCTACCAATCACAACTATCATGCAGTGCCGGGGCCACCGCCCTTCCCTCACCAATGTAGCGCCATTGGCCGGGCCGGTTCCGTACCCAGTCCCCGGGGGTCCCAGCCACTATCCGGTCCCGCCCGACCCATGGTCGCCAGTACCCCTGCCCAGGGGACCCCGCGGACCCAGCCCGGCTACTCTCGCCCCAACCACCGCGGTCCCATTCAGACAGTCCCAGTGCCCGCCCCTGGGGAACCACTCAGCCCGGTCCGACCCGGCCTCATCCCCGGAGTCACGGTATCGGGTCGTTTCTATTGCCCTACACACCGCGATGTTCCCAGCAACCCATGCCCAAAACGCCGGTCCGTCTTGTGACTAAGTTTCCGTTATATTATGCCTCAAATGACTGGCTATAATCGCAGTTACCCATTCAACCTGTAGTCGCCTTTCAGAACATTGATAATCATTTTCATCGCAAATGACCCCGGATATGCGAAAAAACGTATTACCTATCAACCGAACAGCGGCCGAGCGCAATAAAATTCCGCTTATGATGCGCATTTAGCTTTTCCCGATAAAAGCATAATTCCACGGTATTCCGACTAGCCCTATCCGCCTGCCGCCGTCGTCGCCGCAGCGGCCGACCGAACCGGGGAGCTCGGCCCAAAAATCAATGCGACTCGAGACTGCCAGGCGCCGCGCCGGCGGCGGTGGCGGCGGCGGCGACAGCTTCGCTGGGACAGGCTAGGCGCCGACAAGTGTCCAAGAGACAGAGGCGAGAGGTGATAGAAAGAGGACCGACACTGGGGAAGTAGGGGAGAGTGGGAGAGATGAAGGGGAGTGACTGATAAAGGCGTTCGGCGAGGCCGGAGTCAATGTCGAGAGAGAGACATAAGAGAAGGGAGAGGAGGGGGAGGGGAAAAAGGAGAAGAGAGAGAGAGAGAGAGAGAGAGAGAGAGAGAGAGAGAGAGAGAGAGAGAGAGAGAGAGAGAGAGAGAGAGAGAGAGAGAGAGAGAGAGAGAGAGATAGAGAGAGAGAGAGAGAGAGAGAGAGAGAGAGAGAGAGAGAGAGAGAGAGAGAGAGAGAGAGAGAGAGAGAGAGAGAGAGAGAGAGAGAGAGAGAGAGAGAGAGAGAGAGAGAGAGAGAGAGAGAGAGAGAGAGAGAGAAAGAGAGAGAGAGCGCTCCCTTGAATCGCGGGGGTGGAGTTCGTTCAACTCTGGTAAGGTGTAGCTCTGATATGCATATGGGAAGCTCTGCATGTGTGAGCTGTCAGCCTGCCGCATTCAACTGACTGGATTTCACCGGTTCACAAAGGCATAAATGATTATAAAGCGATGCGCTGGCTTCTACAAGGTTTTCAAATGCGAGAGAAGTCTATGGCCCCCGGCAATATTACTTTACTGAGCCTGCAGCACTTGTCAGGTTGAAGTCTGACGCAACAGCTCAGTCGATAAACCAGTATTGGATTCGCAGGCAGCATTTAAACAAGTTTCGAGCGGTACCTTGCGAGAGCGACCCGATCCAATGTGGATTAAGAATACCCGTCTACTCTCCCCAAACCGCGCACCCTCCTAAATTCAGCCTACAGTGCGCTCAGAGCCCTGACCTGACTCCGTTCCGTGACCCGTCCCGTGACACGACCCGTGACCCGCCCCGTGACCCGTCCCGTGCCATGCTCCGGTACCTCGGAATCCTCTCCGACGGAGTCCGCCCGTCCGTCGCCGGTGGCCGGGGCCAGTCGCGCGTGCTCTCTGCACAGATGAGGCGGCGCGCAGCACGGTTCATCAATCGGGTATGTGCGCACCGTGCCGTCACCTAGCGGCGCCGGGCGGCACTCGAGCTTCGCCTGCCGGCCGCTAGATGTCTCCGGCCGCGCCGTGTCCTGATGAGTCGGTTCGCGGCGTAGGTTGCTCCGGCGGCTGGTTGATGTGGTTGTATGAGACGTTTGCGGCGCAGAAGCTGCCGTGCGGCGAGCGTTGACGCGGTGGCGCAGCTGATTTCCTCCAGCGCCGGTGGGTGTGTCCAGGCCGCTGATTGGCTGAGCGGCTGAGACGGCGCTGCTGATTGGCTGACGTCCGGCGGCTGGCGTTCGGCGATTGGACGCGGCGGCGGCGCGGGCTCGCTGATTGGCTGGCGGGCGGACCGAGGATGTGGAGGAGCGTTTGGCCAGGTTGCTGAGGTTGTGGTCCGTCTGGGAAGGAGGGAAGCAGGTTAGAGATTGCACATGACGTCGGGCAGACGGTCGGGAACACACCGCGGACTCCTCACATGACATCTACGTTGGCCTACGTTTGTGATACGTGGGCCAAAATTAGGCCATTAGAAATTACATTGGAGAAACAAGTCGGGATGATTAAATAAAACGAGCTATGAGCTTCTAAAGTTCGGACAAGTTACTTCTATATGGATTACATTTGCGCACGGTTTACACAATTCACAAAAATTGAGGCCGCTAAAATACATGAGATCGAGAAATCAATGCTCTCAGACTGTGGCCATGAAATGCACCAAAAGTACACGCAGTTGCAACAAAATCATTTCGACAGTAAAACGTAGTAACATTACAAAAACCCGCATGCAAACGCAATTTTACACAGGGTGTTTGACCCTGGATGAACAAAAAGAGCGACTTAAAACCAATTTACCCAAAAGTCCGATATGCAGATTATTACTGACTCTAGCACATTACATGCTGGTTACTGCACATAACGGCAACTCATACTAGAGCCCCACGCAGAATAGTCAGCTATGGTAAGTGCTACGAACAGTAAGGCATTCAACATCCAAGGCTCTCAAAAATAGAATACACTCGTTTTCGTAACTGAAACCACAAGTTGACCATGCGCGTAACAACGCCTCCTCCAAACACCAACCCACTACAAATCCACGAAGAAGTAAATGCGCATACCTAACCATTGGATTTGTAATTGACCACCAGCCGTATGTACTATGCAATACGCTGTTAATGCATTTGCCGTATGCAAGAACTGTAAAATTATAATTAACGTTGCCGTAATAATCGTTCGCGGCAAACCGTCACGTCAGGCATTGACGGCGACAAACGGCACACATTGCACAAAAGTAATCTGCCCAGGATTCTGCTGAGATCAGAAGTCACGGAAGACGACCTCATCAAACCAATATTTCATGACAGAAATTCAGAGAGCATCGAAACATTGACTCGAATACGAGTAGATAATCTTGAGCTCATCAGTATTATCTTCCTAAACTGCTAATTGGCAAAGAAAGTCAGCCAGCCATTTGTTTTACATTGGGCAATTAATTAATTATAAGCGCATGAAAAGCATGGATGTCGTCTTCAGCCAACGGCAGGCCTTTCTCCGAAAGACTTTCCCCACCCTACCCCTTCCTACAACCCGTCCGTCATCCCCCGCCCCTTCCCCACTCACAGCGCCGAGGGGTGACCTTTCCGAGGTCAGCGATCCGACCCCGGACCGGTTGAGGACGAGCCCCGCGGGCGAACGACGGTCAGAGGTCAGCAGCAAGGGCGTGGCAAAGGTCACCGAGCGGCGCCGCGGGCTGGGAGTGCCAGAGGCGGCTCCAGGGCCGGTGCCAGGGGCGACCGGAGTCTGCGGCGTGGAGTGGAACAGAGGCGGCGCCAGGACGGGAGTCTGGGGAGGCGGGACGGAAGTTGGGTTAGGCGGGCAGTGACAGAGGCGACGCCAGGACGGGAGTCTGGGGAGGTCAGCAGGCCGGAGGTCAGGCTAGGGGGGACGTGGAAGTCAGTCTGGTAGTGATGAGGTCAAGCACGTTACAGGGTTGGTGGAACAAAGGTTAGAAGGGCAGTGACGGCTAAGAAAGGCACGACAGAAGAGGACAGGCGGGCAGTGACAGAGGCGGAGTCAGGACTGGAGTCCGGGTTGGTGAAATATGTTATCGACAGCCATGACTGAAAGAGCTCCACGGACGTACGAAGAGGCATAAACATGGCACTGGACAGCTTGGCGAAATCGAAGGCAAACGAATACAAAATAATAGAAACGTGAGCATGTGAAAACAGACAAACACAATGTTTGGAAGAAAGTCAAATCAGTTTGCTGACTTAAAATGGGACAGCAGCTGACGATTTGAAAAAAAAAATATATCATAGAACACCTAAGCGTAAAACTTATCAGACCAAACCAAATAAATGGAACAAATCTAAGGCATATAAGCGATATATAAAGAGCCATTCAAAGAAACGCATATTAAGCTGATGCTATATCAAAATAATAGAAAGAGCAATGTTTTACATAAGAGTTTATAGAAGTATAAAGGTATTACAAAAGAAAGCAAGAATTAAAGTTACGGCGCGCAAGAACTGTCACGCCTTCCCATAAAATTTCCCGCAACCATGTTTTTTTTTAATATACGGTTAGTGACAACCTTGGTGTCGTGTCTTCCTGCATTTGCGCGATGCGCATGCAATAACAGACACATTGAAAGTAAACTAAATAGCATAGCCGTGCAGCCACGATACAAAACTATGCAACCCAATTTACCTACACAACATACACAACTACATCAGATCAAATGCAAACCACCATGCAACGTCCATATCACAACGCACAAACAAAACAAGTCGTTCCGTTTACAAAACACAATATAGGCGGTGCTCACCATTTTGCGCGGCTGGTCCCAGTAGTTGAAGTTCTTATCGTCGGCGGCAGATGGCGGTGGGGAGGTGTCCGTCTGACCCGGCTGGGTGGCCTCCATGCCGCCCTCTGCATAACACCAGTATATCGTCAAATCGTGATTAAGTCATAAGATGGTGGCTACTGGTTAACTTTTATTACATGCTTAAATACGAGTCTGCTATTACTTTCGAGTACATGCTTTTTATTACATGCTTAAATACGAGTCTGCTATTACTATTAGTCTGCTATAACTTTTATTACATGCTTAAATACGGCTCGTATAAAACCCAAGGGCGTTGACACAAGCCAACAAATCAAAACCGATGAAATTGAGCGATGATAAAGCTGGCTTATATTTTACCAAATCCAAAATGCATACGTAACAGCTGAAAAGAGGAAAACCATTTCCCGCAGAGGAAAACCGTGTATTTTAGATGTCTTTTATTTCTTTCGGTGTTTAGTGTTTCGCTATTGCGTTGATTTTAGCCTTTTATGTACGTACTGCGTAATGATTCACATGTTTGTCAGCGAATTTTAATACTTGTATGTACACGACGAGAGGGCTGAAAAGCCATTTAAATGGAGACCTCAATACACTGGATTTGGATTTGGATTTGGATTTGGAAAGATTGTGTTCGCCGCTGTGGTGCCGAAGGCCATTCTCGGCGACAACCTATCCTCTGACAAGAAGCGACCAACAGCGTTTCATCGGGGGAGAGGAAAACTTCCCGCAGAGGAAAACTTCCATCCCTTCCCACAGACGCCCGAGTCCCACCAAGACCCTCCTCACAGTCCATCCTCACGTTCCGCTCCGTCTCACCTGTCCCATTATCCTGGCCGGGTGTGGGCGCAGCGGGTGTGTTGGCGTATCCCCAGCCGCCCCAGTAGTCCGCCCCACCTCCCCCGTCCGTCTGATCGACCGGTACGAACGGCTGGGACTGCTGGAAGGCAGCCGGATCGTACGGAGCGGCGGCGGAAGCGGACGGGTCGGCCTGCTGCTGCAGGTACTGAGCGGGGTCGTACGTGCCGCCCGCAGCTGCAGCCTGTGGAGGAAGAGGGGAGAGCAAGGTGGAGGGAGATAGGTGTCAATGTCATATGGCAAAACGGAGGAGACTTTTGGAACTATCGCTACGCCAGTAACATGACAGACCACAGACAAGGCATGGAGTCAACAAAAATCATCTTCAACGAATACCACACACGTATGTACAGTCGTGTACAGGTTGATGGTCCCCTACTCTTTATCCACCGGGTTCCTATGGCTCAGCATTGGCAGCAGCCGCCTGGTACCGGTAGGCTGTGCCGCATGACCCGAGAGTGAAGCGGCACAGTCTACCCACGCCGTTTGACATCGGCTCGGGTCGCCGGGTGGAGCGCTTTGTAGACCAGCTGTCGCGTCAGACCAGCGCGGGGGGAGGGGCTCGTCTCGGTGGTTGGCGTGGGCTGGCGAGTGGTGTGGGGCGTGTTGGTGGACCATGGGGGCTGGGCGGGTGTGTGTGGTCACTTGCTGCATTGCACATTTTGCGTCGCTTAACAATTGCATTCCTGTTTTTGCTAAGCACAATGCACGGAAGACCCAGCGAATATAATTTACTTGTGCATTGTGCAAAACGTGATTTGGCATGGTATCGAGGCAACCATAGGTCTTGTGCCACATATATGCATGATATTTAGGCAATACGCTTATGAAAATGGTAGATTGATCGGATTGATCCTGGATGTCAATTCGTATGCTAAATGTCGACTTGTATTAAATGAACGAATGAATGAATCAATCAATCAATCGACAATCGACATGTAGATATAAAACCGTATAAATGGCTCGCAACCACTAAAATCAAAACAGATCCTAACTCGGAAAAGTAGCAGGAGCCCCGATGAGGCTCGAACCGGGACTCCACGTTGAAAGTTTTACCAAAGATCCATCATCATTCCACCAAGCTAGAGCGACCGGCACCCGAAACCACAAAAACATTCATTGACTTTGCTGCCGACCTCCCGGCCCCGCCGCCCGCCCGGCCAGACTTTGCCCCGGCCGTGGCCACCATCCGGTGCAGCTCAGCGTAGGAATGCTAGACTGTCAAACTGACCGGCAGTGAGAGGCCCGGTTCGAGACGCTTCGCGTGCTGGATGTTTATTTCTGTGTCCGAGGCTATGCGATTATAGTCTGTTTTTCGTATCTTCTACCTTCACTCAAAGACGGTAAACTCTCTAATCACGTGCTCCAGCGAACATCCAATTAAATCAACACCGCTGCAAAGTCAATTTTTATCTCGAAGCAACTGCAAGATCGAACGTCTGTCCCCTTGGCCTATCCCGTTAATCAAAATGCGATGTTCTTTGTCAAGTGAAATGCATTTGCATAAAAACGTGTCATCATATTTTCATTCTGGCAAAATTATCCCTTTCTAATTTCATTATATTTCAAACAACAGAAGGGCAATGGCCTTGGTCTCAGACAAGACAAAATGATCGTAACGTTTTCTTTCAACGTTTCAAAGCACGGAATATATAGTCTACGACATGGAATGGACAAGATCGAGATTTCCTGTAACTGCCGAGTTTTTGGCGACCTATGATTTAGTCGTGCGGATTCGCTGTGGCTACTTCCTTTACGAGGATGAAAGTATAGTTGCCAGACCTATAACTAATAGGGGAAGGTGGGGCATAACGGGGTACCGGGGCAATATGAGAAGGTGCATTTTATTCTAATCAGGTGTTGCTGTCTGGAATCACTTCTGACAATTTAAACTTCGCTCGTTTGCCGCCCTTTTCCGGTGGACGCCGGCGGGAGGCGGCGTTGCTGAGGATGGTGGGTAATGTTTTTTTATGGTGCTGATGTATTTTTCAACATTCGTTTGGTAACTTCCTAGGTGAAAATCCGTTCGAGTAGGTTTGTCATAGTCAGTGAAAGCAATGACTCTCGTCCTAGCCAACCTTTCGCTGCGATAGAAAGTTGCCGGCTGTTTTGATAAACATGAACGATCCTGCTCTATTACCAATGTCCTTCGGGGGTTAAAACGGGTTTCCGGTAGAGGCGATATGGGGTGGTGAATTTTACCACATTTTACCACATTTACCCCATTTACGTGCCCAGAAGTGCTTTTTGTTACAGTTAAAACTAGTTGCCTTTATTGGCCCACTCACGTTTCATAAATGCATTTAGAGGAGGGGTTGTGTTAAACGTTTTCAAACGTTGTCATAATGTTTCTTCATTTTAAGTAGGTAGTAGGTACATACACAGGCACCGTGTATGTGCCTAATATATATTTTTGTCGAGATACTCTCTTTCATTTTCAGTAGCTTGGATCTTGGTTTAAGCGGCGAGTGCACAGGAACGTGCACCCAGCAGCCTGACACAAGTCCCAGATTTTCACCACGCCTTTTATCGTTTGTCGCAGTCCTCGAATGGAGTCGATGCTGGCGCCGCCACCGACCGTCCACCGCTGCAGCCAGGCGTCGCTCTCCTGAAGAAACTGCATGTGTTCTCCCGCCGTTGCTGGATGGAGGCTGGATATCGCGCGTCGCTTTGAGCAGGGGTCGAACCGGGCAGAAGAGTTTAGCACATCGAGCAGGTCGTTGAGGCGCAGCAGGAGAGTAGCAGTCGGGAGTGCAGTGCGCGGGAGCTTACCGTGGGTCGCATGCAATGTGATTGCTGCTGCTACTGTCCGGCTCATCACCTGTAGGGCATAGCTGACTTTCATTTTTCAAAGCTGTTTGGCCTGATGTGTTTCTGGCTTAGTTTTGGAGCAGCCCGTGGGGAAGAAGCGCATTCCAGTGCGTAGAGTGTTTCTAAATGACTCCAAGAGGCTACTTCACCCGTCACCGTCTACTTCAATATCGTATTTCATTAATGCATTTCGTATGCATTTGAAGATGTGAGGCACGTCATACAGAGCAGCAACCTCGTGCCCGTCCACGGTGAACAAGCCGGTTTCCGCAGCTCCGAGCAGTCTGTAGGTCGCCTGGTTGTTCTTTGACATGTCACAAGTTGTAGCTAGCACAGTGAATCCCGCTGTTGTTACACGTTGAACACACTGTGTTAACAGCTGCTGCTGCACAACGGCCTTGGTCGTTCCGGAACTCAGAAAGAAACCGATGGGCTGTTTCCAGCGTTTGGTGACACTGACACCCCGCACCATCATGACCAAGGCGTGGTCGGCGCAGGCATTGGCGCGGCAGAGAGAGAGCCATGATCAGTGAAGCCCTCGATGACATCATCACCCCGCTGGTAGGCCAACCTCGGTTTCAGCTGCATTTCGTCGAACGAAATGATGCACAGCTTGTCCTTGGCACTTGCTCCGGCGAACTTCTCTTTTATGAGAGCCAAGATAGCGTCATGAAAGCCAGGTCGCATCTGTATTTTTTCCATCTTCCTCCGCAGAGTTCGAGGATGGGGAAGGGCGTACCGTTTTTGTAGGAACCGATACGCCCTGGGACCAAGGCCATATATAGTCCTGGGACCCTGAAAGTAGAGCGCGAGTGCTCGCACTTCCTCATCTTCATCAAATTTTGGACGAATTTCATCGAATTTCATTTAATTTTAGACCAATGTTAAAACTGTAATGCAATGAATATGTATAAATGCTCCCATAACAATGTGTGCTAAAAGTTTCCAATAAAATATCCGGTAACCATTTCAAAGTCACAGACACAACTTGACCCTTGAAGAAATTCGACGATTGTTAAGAAAAAATGTATGAAATGTTAAGAAAATATAAACCCACGTGGAAAGAAATTCATCCGCATCCTCCGGATCTCCGGATATTCATCCGGCAAAATCCTTGATTTTTGGTTACACACGTGGCAATGCTAATCGAAGCTCCTGTCCATTCCATGTCGTAGACTATATATTCCGTGTTTCAAAGCAAAAGAAATGTGGGCTAGGTGACTGAAATAAGGCGGTGAAGAAGGAGCACAACCAACGAATATCGCCTGAATAACGAACTTATAGTACTTCCTTGGATACCAGGGCCCGTATTCACGTCGGAATTTTTCGTAAGATTTATCTTACGATCGCTCTTTGTCGTACGATAATTTGGTATTCACGTTGGCATCGCAAACAGTTAAGATTTATCTTACGATCAAAATTTTGGTCGTAGACATTTGTCGTACGATCGATCGTAAGTGCGATTCACGTCGGGACATCTTAAGTCGAATCTTAAGATGATCGTAAGACCTTAATGATGAAGGTATTGGGAAGATACGACTACTCACTGAGCTGTCGTAAGACGTCACCTATGCTTATGAATTGTATATTTAGGTATTAAAATTGTTGTTTATGATTTTTTTTTCTTGCGAGCGAGCGCGAAAAAGAGTTTTCAATGTAACGGGAAAATATCAGTATGAGTGGTACAGCTCGGACCGGCCTGCCCTACAACGCTTTTGAGAAGCTTTCATCTCGGCCACCGCTGGGCCGATTGAACCGCGGTCTTTTTTGTTTGGTAGCCCCATCCCTCCTACCTCGTAATTGACTACTCTTGATGCACCTGGGTGATCGCCGTGTCATGTGGCTCTTGCGAAGCCAAGGATGTCAACTCAGAAACCAAAGTCGTTCTGCTGAATTTACGTTTTTGAGAGGATTATGTCTGAGTAAGCACAGGATCGATTTACCAGGAAATATGTTTGTAGGGTATATTCATCCATTCTGCCGAGGACACGACTTTTCTCGATGCAAGTGGGTGACCATGGCACGTGCATAATAAAGAGATGTCATGTTTGTAGCAATTACAATAACTATGTAATTATCGTGCCCATTGCGCTGAAACTTGGCATGTGGGTAGGCACTCATCAGGCAATGCATTTCCATGTGTCACGTTAGGGATACTTCTGCACGTGCGCACGTGCGGTGGTCGCGCCTAGATCTCGGGAACGGCTGGACCAATTGCGCTCAAAATTGGCACACCGGTAGGGACCGCTTAGTAGCGTGCCGGTCAAAAGTCGTTTGGGACCCCGTTCGCACGTGCGCACGTGCAGGAGGCCGCTTCCATATATAGAGAACGGCGAGGCCGATTGCGCCCAAATTTGGTACACCTTTAGGAACCGCTTAAGAGGGTGCCGAGCAATGTCATTTGTGACTCCGGTTGCACGTGCGCGCGCGCAGCAGGCCGCTTCCGGATCTCGAGGACGGCTAGGCCAATTGCGCTTAAATTTGGTACGCCTTTAGGAATCGCTCAGGAGGTTGTCGAGCAAAAGTCAATTGTGACCCTGTTCGCACTTCGCACGTGCGCACGCGCAAGAAGCCGCTTCCGGATCTCGAGAACGGCTGGGCCGATTGCGCTTAAATTTGGTACACCTTTAGGCTTTAGGAACCGCTTAGGAGGGTGCCGAGCAAAAGTCAATTGTGACGCAATTGGCACGTGCGCACGCGCAAAATTGTACACGCGCTCAAATTTGGTGCACCGTTGGGGACCGACTAGTAGGGTGGTTCGTGCTTAAAAGGACCTTCCCACCTTCAAAAAAGTTAATGAATTGGCATAGAAGTAGTGTTGCATGGTACCTAGAGAGTGAGCAAAAATGAATATCTACCAAATTCCATTGAACAAATTCTAAGGAAATAGTTCACTTTTAACATGGGGTTTTGAACTGGACTAGCAGTTTCGTAGCTTGAGCTGAGACTAGCACAAATCAGGAGCTTTTACGGCTCAACGATCACCCTAGACGAAGATATTCCATTTCTCGTTCCGAAAAGAGTGCCTTGCAGAGGAATGCGTGCCTTGCACAGGATTGCAGCCACGTCATCGTCAGCCAATCAGCATGCTGCTTACAGCCAATGCATACAGCCAATGTCGGGTCAAGGTTAGGTCAAACACCTGAAATCGGGCTTTCAGTAGCATGAACTTCAGGACTTCGCAATGGGCGCCTCTCGTCATAAACTCTGTCAAAACGGTACACAATCCTTCATATAAGGCTGGAGGATATAAGGATGAGTGTCAGATCCATGTAGGGGTCATTCAAGCATAGGTCAGGGTCAAGGTCAGGTCAACCGGGTAGGCACATATCCCTGAAAATCAAAACTGATATTCGCAGCCTGTGACACATGTTTAATGGGTAATTTTGGGCGTATAACACTATGGTGAGATTCATTTTACCATATGTGTACGTGTTTGGTTAAAAAAAAAATTCAATTTAAGAAATGCATTTATCATGGTCGTGAAGAAGTCACGACTCACGAGAAATTGCCAAGATTCAGTTCAAGATTTTGGACAATTCAGAACGATAATCAAAAATCGAAGATGGCCATTTGATTGCTCATGGCATTGGCAGTCTAATGGCGTTTACGGCATGTCTGTATGTCTATTCTGTGATTTTATACGATTTTTTGAAAATATGCTGTTTTTGGTCGAAAAATGAGAAATTATGACGTCACTAAAACCTCGATATCTCAAAAAAAATTTCCGACCGATATTTTTAAACTTTGTCACAATATACTTCAATCATTTCCCTAAGGTAGCTAAATTTTTGACGATCGGCCCAGTAGTTTTGGAGTTAGGAGGGGGGCTATGAATAGCCCCCCCCCCCCCAGTAGGGCGTGTTATAGGCAAACCCCAGTGGGGCGCGGGTTAACATGCATGTTTTATCGATTTATTCTTCATATGATCATTTGTATTATATTATAATACCTAATGGTAAAATAATTTTCATAATAACTTTGAAGCATACCAAATCTGTGGTACTTTTATAATGTTAAGAATAGCTCACTAATAACTGTTTGAATATATTTCGTTTGCTGTATCATTTGACGGAGGATCCATTTTCTATGTCGTCCCGGAATATGCTGCTAAAAATAAAATCTTCGGAACTGCTACGACATCTTAAGTTGGGTCGTAGGATAAATCCTAGGACTTTTGACATGAATACCAAATTATCTTAAGATTGTCAACGTGAATTAGAAGTATCCTAAATATCCAGACTGATCGTACGATAAAAAGTTAAGATGGTCAACATGAATACCAAATCGATCGTACGATGAAAACTGATCGTAAGATGTCGACGTGAATACAGGCCCAGAACGAAAAGTGTTGAAGGCGCGGAGAAACACCGACGGTGGTGGCACAGTTCAACTCCGTCATGCTTTCAGCGCAATATAATACGAAAAATGTATACGTTGGTGTTATTGTTGTTATTACCTGCATTTGTGTATCATAATATAAGCCCTAAGGCGTTGGTGATTGCCAGCGGTCACTCAAAAAGTCATGTCAGATGATAAAGATCACCAGCAGCTTTCGACAATACCTAACAGCTGCTAGAACTAAAGATGTTTCGACGGCGCTGTAGTTCAATCGGTTGACAAGGTTTGGTCAGATTTGTCCAAACATGTTGAGCTCGGGAGTTTTTTTAAATTAATGACCTTCAGCAGCCTTCACTATTGACCTCAGCAAAATGCGGTATATACCTACTATATACGTATACTGCTGAAAGTAATTGTTGAGAGCTATCGATTCTTGCCCGTGTCTTCGCACCTTTCTTACTTTTCGGGATGATCGCGTGAGGCAGATAGGAAAATAATAAGATGAAGCAAATCTGCCTGGGGACCCCCAAGCGGGCGTGGGCTAAGATAATTTTGTTATTGTCGGTGTAAAAGTTATCGCAACGTAAATACAGCAAAACATAAATTAACCATTTGAAAAATATAGGTAACACATTTAGTTTCTTGTACCCATGACAAGGAAGTGCTAGCTTTAAACTATTCTTTAAATGTTCTCAGCAAAACGTCCTTGTGTATAGGTCGGTAGTCAGTACCAATAAACCGTGGTAACGATAATACAAGCGATATCTATCTTAAAGGTTTCTTTTCCGATTTGAACTGCGCAGCGAAGGCGAACTCCAACACGAGCAACAAACTCCTGCAATGAGTGGTGGGCCATGCGGCCAAGATTTGAAAACTATACCCTAAAAACGTGCTGGAGGAACAAAACATCTTTGAGTGAAGGTAGAAGATACGAAAAACAGACTATAGTCCACTTTTCAGAAAGATTATTTGGTGACAGTTCTGTTTTCTTTCTTTGCTGCAATTCATGAGGAGACCGTATGGACCCTTACCTGTCCTTCCGCACCCACTTGGGAAATGGGTGTTTGAACCCCCCTGGGTTTTGTGAATATCTCTAAAGCGAATTTTTGGAGGGTGGATTACGATCGGTTCTATGCGACAAGTGACCACAAACACACCCAGCCCCAGGTCTGCTCACTCCCTCCCCACATCACCCCCGCCCCACACCACACTCCAGCCCGCCTCATCCACCGAGCCGAGCCAAATAGACAGGCCTGACCCTTACCCCCCCCCCCTCCCCCCAGCCGGTGTAACGCAACGTCCGGTCAAATCGCTCTACCAGGCGACCCGAGCCGGTGTCATACAGTGTGGGTAGGCTGTGCCGCTTCACTCTCGGGTCATGCGGCACAGCCTACCGGTACCAGGCGGCTGCTGCCAATGCTGAGCCATAGGAACCCGGTAGATAAAGAGTAGGGGACCATCAACCTGTACACGACTGTACGACGCCGCCATAGAACTGCTCATATCTCTGTTTAAGAACCCAAAACTATCCAACATATCATCCAGCCACCGCATCCCCCGCCCGAGCCCCGCGCCAGGCCGTTAGCGCCGCCGCATAGACCCACGGTCGGCCCGGCCGGGCCGGGTACGTGGTCGGCAGGCGTGTCTCATACCTGTGGTTCTGCCGGCGGCTGCTGCGGCGTCACCCCGTACTCCGGCTGGGGCTGGTGCTGTTCCTGGAACTGGTGCTGCTCCTGGTGCTGGAGCTGGAGCTGCTCGGCGGCGGCGGGGTCTGCCACCAGCTCCGCAGGCTCTGCGCCGCCGCCGGCTACCGCAGCGGCATCGGTCGGCTGCGGGTAGGCCGGAATACGGCCGTTCTGCCGAGACGGACACACCAGGGAGGTCGGTTAGCTCGGAGATTGATACAATGAGGAGCAAAACCCATCAAAGGGGGCTGGGGCAGGACTCCAGGATCCGTCCCAGCACGGGACAAAGACTAGGCTGGATGCTGCCACCCAATTATGTGCCAAAAATGAGATCCAACGCTTAAAAATACACGTGCAGCGAACAAAATGTAGAATAGAAAACAAGTGATGATAAAATCGTGGATTCTTTTTCCAATTTATAAATTTGACAAGAGTTAGACATAGATACATCGACATAGATACCTTAGTGAAACTGAAGCAAAACATGTCACTTTAGCTTTGCCAAATAGAGAGGGACGACAACGAGTCGCTAGGGTCAATTATTTGATAACTTAGGTGCAAGCAGCAGAACTACATAGATCTCTTCTTCCACCCATCCTACTCCTATTCTCCCGATCCCCTTTTCCCTCCCTCAGCGTACCACACTCCTCCTACCTCCCCCGTCTCACCTGCATCTCGACCAGGACATTCTGCAGCGCCAGTAGCCACTCGGGGTCGCCCATTTCGGAGAGCTCGCCCTCGCCCGACTGGTAGTGGGCGTCGTGGTACTTGAGCTGGCTGCCCAGTGCGTACACGCGGCTCACCAGAGCTGTAGCGGGGCGGAGCGTAGGAGTCAGTGACTGGTTACAAACCAATTTGTAGTGTAGTTTTTGTTTATTTAAGGTGCACACTTCTTGACGAGGCCGGGTGTAACTACGCTATTCAAACAGCTATCAGACGAGGACAAAACTCTAACCTAATTGGTAGCGATGCGTACTATCCGATCTCGTATAAATATGTTATGATCAGGACTGAGTGAATCCAGGTTACTCTACTCCTCTCAAACTCGAGCTCTACTCAATTGGGTGAGACTGGGCGCTAACCCCAGTTCACTGAGGCGAGGACGTACAGCGGTAGTTGGGTGATGCGGGTTACTCACAGTAGTTAGGGCTGGAGTAATGCCGGTAGTGCCGGTAGTTTAAAAGGAGTTGAGGTACTGACTGACATGGTTCACTAAGACATGTATACGGTATCGAGTGACGCGGGTTACTCACAGTAGTTGAACGAGCTGGGGTACTTGGCGATCAGCCCCCCGATCACCTCACAGTAGTGGAGACACTCGGTAATCAGACCGACCTCGGCCAGTCGCGTGGCGTAGATGAACTTCATCGCCTGTGGACGGGACAAGCGGTCAGTCAGTGACACCTCAGCATGACGCAAGGGTCACGTCATAAGGTCTAGGTCAGGCCAGGGTCAAGACTGAGGTAAGGATTAGATCAGGGTGGGGCCAGGTTAGGTGTACCTCGTGTCAGGTTAAGGACTCAGGGTCAGGTCAGAGGTACCAGTCAGTGTCAGCGTCAGGTCAGGGTCAATGTTAGTGGCAGATCAGAGCTAGATTAGCGACCAGAGGGAAGATCAGCTGCAGCTGGACTGACCAGTGACCAAGGGTGAATTTGAGGAAGAAGCTGGGGCAGTGCGGTGAACTGTCGATGCATCGTTAATTGAAGCTGATAAAAATAACAGCTAACGGTCAACAACGTATAATACCTGAAAATACAGGATCATCTTTACAAGTCCCATCAAAGCCTGGTCAACCACCAACCAACTTATCTATCCCTAACTCTCATAGTTTTTCTGCCCTACCGAACATCGACCATCCCTCCCCTCACCTGTAGATGAGTGAGCACGTAGTCCGCGGCGCCGAGACTCTGGGCGTACTCAAACACCTCCGTGCGCTGAATGGCCTCGTTGGTGGCGAACTGGCTCCATGGTAGTTGATGGGCCGACCCGATCAGCACCAGTTTGGACGATTTCCGCTCGTATGGACCAAACTCGCACTGGGCCATCAGGTAACAAAAGTGCGCCGCGTGCAGAAGACCGCGAGCCGCTGGAGGGGGGGATGGGAGGGGAGGTTAGACTTGGGGTGATGGAAAGCTTGTGTCTAACTGTAACAATGCTGAACGAATCGTTCACCGTCTGCTTTTGGCATAAATTGCAATTACTTCAGAACTATGGGACGCAATTTACATCGCAATTTCCATTACTTAGAATAATGGAACCGTATCTTTATCGGTTGTTTTATTAGTACATTTGCCCGACTTTCAGCGGCACATAGTGCGGATCTCTCCCACCAGCCACTCATTCTGCATAGTTCGACCCCAGCACCTTCCCACCACCCCAGCAAGTTACCCTCCCTTCCACTCAAGCATCTCTCCCACCTCTCCCATCCCTCCCACCAGTACAACCCATCCATCCACACCCCCACCACACCCACCGAGCGTGTCTCCCAGTGTGACGATGGCCCGTTGGTTCAGCTCCGGCCGATGGGTGGTGTTAGACAGAATCATGGCCAGATGGGGCCGCCAGTCGCCCCACCGCTCATCGGCGCAGCTCTGAAAGGCACAGGCGGGACAGTTAGAGAATTAGGGCATTGGACAGTGACGGGTTAGGCAAAGCAAATCACTTTCAGAAATTCAGTGACAAATCATGAGTCGTGGATCACATTTGCACCTCACTTTCCCAACAATAAACTCTACTGTGGTTAAAGACGATCTCCCAAGTACCGGTTGCTCACGAAGCCTTCTTTTAGTCCCCCCTCGTACCGCAGCGCTGACGAGGGCTTCCCTTAGTCCCCTATTTACCGCCCATTCCCCTAAAACTCCCCTCCTTTACCGTGGTGGAGAACGGCTGCCCCACCCAAGGCCCTCACCCCTCAGGTATAGTTGTCCACAAAGTCTCCCCTCCACCCTCTGTACAAATGTAGTGCAGGTGGGCTCCCCCCACTCCTCGCCCTTCCTTACCGTGGTACAAGACGGCTGCCGGCCCGACATGAGCTGATAGAGCGTCTGCAGCGGATCGTTCTGTAGCAGTCCGTTAGCGAACCTGGTCATCACCTGACCGTAGGTACGCTGGTCCATCTTACTGGCCAGGAACAGCGCGTGCCCCCAGATACCCTGCTTCATGGCCCACTCTGTAAGAAGGAAGGGTGATTGTGAGAGGATATCAGGTGGAATTGCAGCTGTGTGGGACTGTGACAGTGCGTAACGTATTAACCCGCGCACCGACGGGGGTCTGCGCCAACTTCGTACCGACGGGGGGGGCGGATGACCGCCCCCCCCCCCTGAGATCTCGAGAACGAAGCAAGATAGAGACAAGCGGTAAACGGCATGGGATACGCACGGACAAGGTCTACAATTTTTACAAAGATCATTTTCAGGTCAGGTCAAAGATGATGTCACAGGGGTCAAAAAAGTCAAAATGGCGGCGCTAGATATGGAGATAGTTTTTCTCGAATAACTTTCGAATTAGTCAAGATAGGAGCAAACTAAGGGCATCATCGTGATCCTCTCGTCAATCCGCATCGAATGATATATATATATGTTGACCTCGAAAGGTCAAGGTCAAAGGTTGACCTCAGGTCACGTGACCTCGAGGTCATCATGTATATCATTCGATGCGCCTTGACGAGCTGAACACAATGAGACCATCCGCGCGGCTGTATCTTGTTCCTGTACGGAGTTATTGGCAAAAACCCTTTGGTGACCTTTGATGACGTCACATGACCTTAAAGCTGCCCAACAGCAAAACAGACCTCAAGGTAGCGAAGGTTGATCGTATATGAGGTCATGTATGGTTTATGGGGCCATTCCGACCCGTTTTAGTGGTAAAAACAGGGAGTTGATTTTTCCCCCATTGACTTATAATGGGGAGGTCGAGAAATTGAGCTAACCTTAGGTCAACGATATCAAAATTCCGAGGTATACAAATTGTAGCTACTAATGACCTTATAACATCCTGCGACTTTCAAAGACCTCCGACATCTACTGTAGCTCTGGCACGGTGACAAAGTTGCAAAAAAGTGACTTGAGGTTGGGTCATTCAAAGTGACCTGGTGACCTGACCTTAAAAGTTACGAGGTTCAAACTTGCACACCATGTGTAAAATTGATGAGAGAATAGTCGTACCAAATTTCGGTTTTCCCGCTATTCGCGAAAAACCTCAGGGGGGGGGGGGCGGATATCCGCCCCCCCCCGTCGGTGCGCGTGTTAACTCACGGAGCTGAAAGAGAACTCAGTGGCGTGCAGCCAACAACGGGTACCCAAGACAATGTTTGACTTAATAATTGTTTTGTCTGGATAGCCCCATATCAAGCACGCGTCTATATAACAGAATTCTCATCAAGTGCACTAAAAATCAAAATATATCCTAACTGTCTTGCATATTTGGTATAGGTTCCACACCAAACAACCCTAACCACCAATTAAACCATACTTCGTATATCCTTGTTTGTTTATTGGGGCTTAAGGGCGCGCCGACTACAAGGTCATTTTGCGCCCTACTTCGTCTATCCACTAAATCATCCACCCTGTCTGCTACTCTACTCAATCTACTCAATCGCCACCATCCCATTTCTCTGCCCAGCCCTCTGCCAGGATCTTCTCTCTCCTCACTCACCAAGTGCCTCTTTCCTGTGTCCATACAGCAGCAGTTCGGTGAACCTTGTACCGCCACCGGCTCGGCCGTCGCTCGGCGCGGGTCACCAGCGCTCGGTCCACTCCGCGGCCCCGGCCGGCCGGCGGGCCCTCCGCGGGCCCTCGGCCGGGTCCCCGGGACCCTCAGAGGGGCCCCCAGAGGTGACCGGGTCGCCGTCTCGCAGGAGAAGTTCGGCCATGTCCGAGCCGACCACCATCTGGAGGGGAGGGGGAAGGGAGATATTTGTGTGAAGAAGAGATTCATGGTGAGCTAAGTTAGAGAACATTATCACAGTGATGCGCGTAATACGTAATGTGTGGCGGGATAATGCATGGCGATGAAAGTCAATGCAGCCAATGTATAGTAGA